TCAGATATGGAGTTTAAATGAATTGTACTTACGCATAATCTACTTGTAATCTTGAGTTTTAAGTAACATGCATTAATAAGCGTTACTTTATGCATAAAAAATGGTTTTAATAGTTTTTGTCAAATGCTTTATAATATAGTATAGATATGTAGAGAGAAAGATGGAGGTTTAAGGAAGAACCTTAAAAAATTGGATTTAAAAATATATGGTTCTTATTCGAATATAACTTTTTTTTATAGAGTTACTTATGAAAATTTATCCACATTTATTATTCACAACTATTGGATTAAGATTGATCGAAATTCGACGAAGGGTTCCATTTTCATCCGCTTTTTCGTGGGGTCGTTCTTTCCCTTGCTTTGCTCCCGTTTACGACAATGATTGTCTCACTGTCTACTGGAGCTCTACTCTAATTGACAACGAGACAGTGTATTGCTTCCGGGGTGGATGGTTCTGGCGTCTTGTAGATCAGACTTTGCTTTTCCAGGTCCTAAGGAAACTTGTAATAACAACGGAACACGGGTCTTACTTTGAAGGAGAAATCTTCCGTAACAAAAATCGCAACAAACGGTAATGAACATTGTGTATCCAAAAAATTTGTACGAATGATACTGCAATTAATGAACTTACTCAAAAATGTAACCCTATCGTAACAATCACTACCACCCCAACAACAAAATCCTAACCAACATCGTAACAAAAGTATTGGTAACAAAATTCATAACTAAGGGGCCGTTTCCCAAACGTTTATCCGGGTAAGCGCTTATCAAGTAACATTACCTTACCGGATGAATATGACAAGGACCAAGAATCTTACCCGGTAAGAGAGGACGACGACTCTTACCATGGTAAGCGCTTACCGGGTAAATTATTGTATACGATGTTGTTTTGACGAACTAAAATCTTACCCGGTAAGTAAATAATAATGTTAAATTTTATTGATAAGCACTTACCTAAGTGTTTGATAAACAACCCCTAAGCTTTACAAGGATGCAAATATATTTACGAAGCTCTATAAATATGCTTACGAAAGGATTTGTTAAAAATAGTCAATGAATTTACCAAAAGGCGAAGTTTTTACTATTTCATTTTATAAAGGATTTTATGAAAATGGTTACGAAATGTTACAGAATACGGGTCAAAAGTTATGGCCTTTGGAAGTTTACTACGAAAATGGTTTTGAAGTGAAACATTTGGATCTTCAAATTTACGAGCATATAGAACTTGAAAACTAAGGAAATACAAAAAAAAAATCTCGATCCGAGTTACAAGTCAAAAGGCTATGTGTGTTTGGCAATTGCTGAATAGTTTGGTGCAGGATGATTAAGAGACTCTCATGATACAGTGCGTAATGAAATATAATTGTTTGGATAATTATTTACAATGAAATTAGGGTGCTGAATGGTTAAAGGAGACCCAAGATACAAAATAATTTAGAGGGTTTTATAACCATTAAGAAACAAAATTTTTTTGCCAAACAAAATTCATCTCTTAATAAAACTATTAAGAGGTAAACAAATAACCCCTTATTATGAAAATGTTTGGAATCATAACTCAGATAGCGATAACTTATTTTATATTTTTTACTTTTTGAGATCTAAATGTCAGAAAATTTTGTCTTTTTTGGTTTATAATTCATTGCTCCTTTTGTTCCTCATATTTAACGGTAAACTACTGATGAATTTAACCTCATTGCAAACCATAGAAATGAAAATTGTAATTTTAAAAGTACAGGGACAATACTTGTAACTTTTAACAAACTACAAGGACTAAAAACATAGTTTACTCTTAAAAGTATTTGGAATATGTGGAGTGGAAACAGGCCTGGGTTTTTCGTAGGTAGTGTGTGATTTGAGAAGGGCGGAGAGGGAGGTCCAGAAGATCTTCCAGTTCCGGCAATGGAAGGTGAACACAAGCAGCGAAATTGGATGGTGGAACCACCCACTGACCGCCCAGTTCGTGTCTACGCCGATGGTATATATGATCTCTTTCACTTCGGTCATGCTCGTTCCCTTGAGCAAGCCAAGAAATCGTAAGCGTTTTTGCTTGAGCAATTTCAGAATTTGATTTCACTTCTGGTTCCGTATTGAGCATATGGATCTTGATTTTGGTTGGTTGATGTTGAGGGTTTTGAATTGTTTGTATGGTTTTCTTTTCCTCAATGGAATCTAGTGTTAGAGAATTTGATTCTGGTTAAGTTTAACTTTAAATTTATACGAGTTATGTTTCCTCATTTTGATTGTCTTAACTTAATATGGTGATGTTTGGGTGAAAACGGTGCATAGATACTGGTGATCTTAAATTTGTTAAGACTGTCAGTTGACGAACCAGAGAATATATATATATTTTTGATTAACCTGATATCCAGCTAAGCAAGCCGACTAATCTCAAGGCGACCACCTGCTTTACGGGTAGCCCGGAGTAGCCGCATTGGAGCCTCTTTTTTATTCCTCCTTGGATTTGAACATGGGACCATGCACTTTTGACCTTTGGAGCCAAGCTCAAACCAATCAGACACCACCCTTATGGTTAACAAGACACATTACTTCTTGATAACAAGCTACACTACTTCTTGATCTTAATGTTGTATACTGATCAATTTGGTAATTGTAGCGTTCTTCTTTTGTGTTCAGGAAATACATTTAAAGGAGTTAGGGTTATAAAGTATGAACTATTAAGATGGTGGTAACCGGTAAGGGAATGGAGAGCATTTACCGACGAAATTATTGAAAAATGTTGGGTTGTTGGGTTATGTTTTTCAGTTTTGTTTTATTTTTCTTTACCTCTCATTTACTATCAATCTAGTGGGGATGACTTGGTGGAGAAAACTAGGGGGTTAATCAATGATATCACCAACCAACTTGTCATTTTATGGGGATTTATTTTCAACTCTCACCATGGAGGGATTTAGGAGCTAGGTGTCTAGATAGCCCAAGTTAGTCATTGAGCTTGTACTGTAATGATTGGTAATATAGGGAACACCTTGAAAGCGGGATCACTCCTAGAAATTTCATCTTTTCACCCAATAGGATGAAAGATACAAGACAATAGATAGTAAGTTCAAAATGGTGTTATGTTTTAGAAGTTCGAGATTATAAATTTCGATTGGAGACTTGGGAAGACAAAACACCAGGTTTGAAATACTTGAAGTGGCGGTCGGCGTGGAATAATAGCAGAAGGTTAGTGTGTGGGGACAATGGTAGAAGGTAGAATAAACTAGGGTTCCTAGGCTTCACACCAAAAGAAATACTAGGGACTCAAACTGAAAGCAACCTTCACAACCAAAAGTGGATTCGCTAAACAAAGAAAGCATATTTATCTAATTCTCAAATGATTTAATAATTTATTAAAGAAGTCTTGGTCACAACTCCCTTTATAATGAATGGAGACCCTAATACTATAATAACAAAAAATTGTTAAAAAAAACCTTAACTAAGATGTAAATGAACAAATTAGTCGTAGATCCTGTGTACCACAAGTATTAGAATGAGTTTGGTACTTGCATCAATTTGTACTCTATAAGTTTATGTGCATAGAGCTAATGGGTTTGGAAGGAAACATGACCTCTCTTTTTTCCTTATGATAAGTTTATGCCTACTACCAAAGGGCATTTAGCCTAGCGGTACCCGGGTTACCTGTAAAGCCCAACCTCCTAGGAGGTCAAGGGTTCAAACCTCACCAAAGGTGAGGAGGGTGTGTGGATTCATTTGCCATATATAAATATTATATACTTCTACAAAAGTTTATGCTTACTACACATCCATGTTATCCAAGATATTGGTTATGTTCATTGGAGAAGTACCACAAGTAACATGAAAAGTACAGTACCTTAGGATGATGTAAACCTGTGATGGATGCATTAAGCACAAAGTGGTAGGAGGATATGAAAGGGATCCAGGAGTGAAGTTTTTTCTGCAGGTGCATTAATTAGACAATGTTGATCTCACATTTAGCTTTGCACGAGTTCAAGATTCGTAAGTGTGAAAATAAAGAGGTATTTAAAGCTGTGGAATAAAAACACTTCCCTCCATTTCTCATCTACTCCCTCCCCCTCCCCCACCATCCTCTTTCATGCTCTTAGTGTGCTCCCTCACTCTCGACAAGCTAGGTTTATGATCGTAAGAGGAACAAATCAGGTTAACAAAATCTGAGGGAGGACTAAGAAGTATGTTGCAAGGTTTGGGTTGTTCAGAAAAAGTGCTGGTTCAAAGAAAAAGGCAAGGAAAAGGGTTTGTGGGATTAAGTGGACAGAGTTGAAAATGTGGACTCAGTAGAACTTATTATGCGGAGAACGCAGATGTGGAGTGGCTATTGGTTACAACAACATAGGAAGAGTGGTAATTTCGTCTATAGGCTATGCTTCCGACTAGGTTACAATAACTTCCAATAATGAAACTTTGGTAGTTACAAATCTATTTACAATGAATGCGAGGACTGAGCTAGTTGTGAAACAATAAGGCATGTAAATTGAAGTTACCTTTAGTGAAACATAACTACTTAGTCCTAAATCGCCTATAATTCTAGTATTAAAATAGAAAAAACAACATCGCCATAATTTATCTTCTCTTTAAACATCAAATTGAACAGAAATAGCATAATAAAAAGTTACCCGTTCTCTATTCCTGTGATTTCCACTAATAATGGTCTATTCAACTGTCTGCAAAGGTGGTATTTCAAATATAAGGCCGTTCTGGGATGTGAAGGTTCTGTTGTGATGTAAAATGGTATACAAAAGACGTCTGGTATACAGAGAACATGAAAGACTGTTTGGGGAAATAAAAATATGCCTATCAGCAGAAGGCATTGCCCTTAAGAGCAAGGCTCACACAACACTAAGAATCATTTGGGATCTAACAATGGGGGATAACATTGATGTCTGTAAGTTATAGTAGAACATAAAACTTTACATGTACTAGGACTACAAAATCCAGCTATTGAGTCAATTCATTAACCTAAGAAAATATATGAAAAGGTAATAGATGATGTTCAATTTCCAGTTAACCTGGACACCAGGTTGCTAGTAATACTTCCCTAGCAACACTAAATCGCTTAAACGATCTGCAACATAAAATACTAGTCCTCTGCTCCCACCATATTAATGTTATATAATTTACTTGTGAATATCATAACATCATTCTTGTATAAATAATAAATGCCAGGTTCTATTGGTTTCTTTTTTGCTCTCTCCATTGTTCGTCCATCATTGGGGAGCATGGTCTTTGAGTTTTATCATGAAGGGAAACTAGAACAACTAACAATGTGCTGCTGGTGTTTGATGGATTTTTTTCCATCCCGAGAATGTTGCTTGGATAGTCTTTTGCATGTGGTTTTCTACTACCCAGGACTTTGTCTCTCATTAATTGTCTACTTTTGAATAATGAGTGTAAAGCCTAATATTTCCCAAATTCGAAATCATCTAAGTTATTTTACTTTCTGAACTGTTTGTGTGCTTGTTGATACTAAACTTAAGTATCACTTTTGTTTTACCAAAAGTTAGATATCCATTCAAAGTTGACATTCAAAAGTACTTTGTTTGGTTCTCAGAAGTCAAAATAATGACAACTAGGTTGCAATGGAAGGAGGGTAAAGTAGTATCTAAATATGGGGATATGATCCTAGACGATGAAGCCATAATTTTTGAGATACTTGCTAATATTTTTGAGATGCTAATATCTTGTAACTTTGTTTTCTCGTCTTATCTATAGGTTTTCAAATACTTATTTGCTTGTTGGATGTTGCAACGACGAAGTCACCCATAGACTAAAGGGTAAAACAGTCATGACTGATCAGGAGCGTTATGAATCTCTTCGCCACTGCAAGTAGGTTTGTGTAATTGCTCAACAATCATGCTTGTATTAACAAATATTTATGATAGTTCCAGTAATCTAGTACCTAGTTGAGATTTTCACTATTTTCTTATCTTCTCTTCTAGAAGCAGCAATTCTTTTAGTTACAAGTGTTGTTTGTGAACTAACATGGGGACTAATTCAAGGAGGTGAGTTAGGCAGATGAGGGAGGTCGTTAATGACTGCGATACAGCTACCCGTTTGTAACAACAAACCGATAGAATTGTTTCAATGTCATAGCTAGCACTAGCAAAGAATGTAGGTTTTACAGAAACAATGTTTCCGAGTTTGTTAATTGGAATGTTGAATTGGTGATTTGTGCATCTATTGCATATTTACATGTGGCTGTGTGCTTGTAATTCTTGAACTTCTATGTTCATAGGTGAAGCAGTCAATGCTCATGCTATAATTTTGCCTTGTTATTGGACATATGCAGGTGGGTTGATGAAGTTATTCCAGATGCACCCTGGGTGCTTTCGCAAGAATTTATTGATAAACATCGTATAGACTATGTGGCTCACGATTCTCTTCCGTAAGGTCAACCTGCCCAAAGCTGCATTTATTTTGCTTCTCAAACCCCCAAGGCCTTATATGTCTTGAAGGGGTATATAAAAATTATGTTTCCCCATATAAAAGCTCCCCTTCCTCTCTGTGCATATATATATATATATATATATATATATGTATGTATGCATGCATGCATGCATGTCTACATGTGTATACCATGCCGTACATGCATACATGCGTATGTATGCATGTAATACATGTGTACGCACTTGCATATACATACATACATACACAAACACACATATACGTTCATACTTACACACATGTACAGATATATACACATATACATACTGCACAAACACACATTCGTGTGTATATGGCATGCTTCCATACTTATAATGTATTTATGTTACATGCCGGCTGATTTGTAGGCTCTCTATTTAAGCTTGACCAGATAGGGAGACAATCCCCTCTCATAAAAGAACAAAAGAATAAAATAAATCCATTTGAAATAAATTAGTCGGATGGACCTGCACCTAATCTTCACAGGAAATTCGTTGCACTTTGTGTCTGAATCTATTCAATTTTGTAACTGATGACGGATGGCCTATATGGTAGATGGAAATTGGCATCCATAAAACACTGCATATGGAGGGGCTCCGCCATATGAGTATTAAATAAGTATAAAACAACTGCCATTTTTTATTATCATTGGCTGACTTGTCAAAGGTACACTTTTTGCTTAGAGCATATGCGCACTCTACCTCCCTACACATGTTTTTGGCCTATACCAGACTATGAAAGTGGCTTTAATAGAATATGCTAAATATTTTTTATTTCCACTGAAAACTTGATGCACCTTATTGTCAATTGTATGTGATGTATTAATTGTGTTTGACTTCTTAAAATCAGGTATGCTGATGCAAGTGGTGCTGGACAAGACGTTTATGAATTCGTAAGTTAGGAAGTTCTTAATCAGTATTACTATATGCTCCCTCTTGTGCAAAGTTTAATTAGCTTGATATCATTATCAAATAACCACCATCTGTACTTATTAGTATCTTTATCTGTGTTGTAGACTACATTTTTCTGTTTCAAGCAGTAAGCTCATGCAGTCTACCCATGGGCAGAGTCACGTTGGAGCCAGAAGTGGCATTCACTCCCCCTCAAACTTCAAACTTAAAATTTGATAGTCTCAAACCTCAATTACCCACTTGAAACTTTATTTATTCATATCAAATTCTTCTTTTTCTTCCTTTATAAATGCCAAGTTTTCTAACATTCTAAAATAAACACGTTACTTTGTTGAATACACAAAAAGATTTCGATAAATTTCATGTATTTTCAAAGGGCTTTTCTCATTTATAAGGTTATCTACACGCAGTGTTCAAAAAAGCTCACCGCAACAGCCACCGTGGCTCGCCATGGCTTAAGGCTTATGTCCTACGCCACGTTATGCATGGCACACCGTGACGTAGTGTGCGGTTTTTGTAACACAATATTTGATTTTTTTTTAACTTTTTTAATGTCTTATTTGTTAGTTTTAGTGTATAACCTAATTTAAATTATCTAATATTATCGAATCGTTGAGTAATGGTAGAAAGTATATGTTTATATGTATAATCATTTGTATGATATAAAGATTTGCTGCCATAAGTCACGCGTTGAAAAACGCCATCACCTCGCTGTGGCTCCTAAAGCTTGAGCACCTCACCATGCCACGCCTTACGCCATTTTGAACCTTATACACATCTTGTATTTTTTTGTATAAATATAGACATAATTATGTTGTTTAGGTCACTCATGCTTTCAACTCTTTTTTACAACTATTTTTAGGACAAGTATTTAATTAAAAAACTTATATACTTAAAAGGGTTTCTCAACTTTGGAATCGTGAATTTTTTTATATTTTTTCTAGGCACCCCCTAGATAAATGTTCTGCTTCCGTCCGTGGTCATACTCATACCAATTATCACTAAAAAGGTTTCAGCTTAAAATGGCAAAATGCTTCTCTCTCTCTCTCTCTCTCTCTCTCTCTCTCTCTTCTTTGTGTAGGGAGAGGAGGGAGTATGAATACATTTTCTTGAAAGATTCATTCCTTTATGAGCAATTCCCTACCTTCATTCTATTTATATGTTTGTGTCCTAACAAAGAAATGCCTTTCACCAACGAGATTGCTTGCTGTACTTGTTTTTGCTGTTAGGATTCCTCTACTTATGTAGCTTTCCTTGTCCTGTTAACTTTGTGGACATATTCGTTATTTAGGTTGCCTTTCTTTACTATGAATCATTTGTTGATGATATATACATCAATTCCCTGTTTAGGTCAAGTCCATTGGAAGATTTAAGGAGACAAAACGGACAGATGGGATTTCTACATCAGATATAATCATGAGAATTGTCAAAGACTACAATGAGTATGTGATGCGCAACTTGGATCGAGGATACTCAAGAAAAGATCTTGGTGTTAGCTACGTGAAAGTGCGTTTTTGTTATTGATTGATCATCATCTATTATCGTATATTGTGTACCTCGATTGACTGTCATGCTCGTTTAGGTCAACATTGAATTTGTCTCTGTTTCTTTGTTTCAGGAAAAGAGGTTGAGAGTGAACATGGGCTTAAAGAAGCTACGTGAAAAAGTAAAAAAGCAACAAGAAAAGGTGGAAGAAAAGGCAAGTATTTTTATAGTTTCATCCTGCACATTAGACTGTAGCTTTAGGCTACTAGGTAACACAATGTACATAACGTAACACAAGCTGTATGAACCGTCTCCAAGCCACTAGACTCAAAAGACCATAAATCACCAACCAAATGTAACAAGTTGATTTCATTATTTCATAACACGAAATACACAGCTTGCATTCCATGCATCAGGAATCCTCTTTTAAGAACATAAACACTTTATGAAGGGCTTAATATTATGTAACTCCACTTCAACAATACAAAATTCGAAGCATAATTGTTGTGGGTATGAAAATTCGATATATAATGTATAAACCTTTGGAAACACCAGAAGTCTACTAAAAAAAGCTAGGACTGGGATTATGCATACTTTAGAGGATTTGCACGTATTACAGGAGTAATGGGTCTGGTTTGATCTCAAATATTGGGCCTCGGTATTGGATGTGGAATCGTGAAAGTTGAAAATGAATTGGACAGCTAAGTAATGCTTTTGCGGCATAAATGAGAGGCATGGGTATGAGGAAGTGGAGAAACCTTGGTGAACACGGGATATATATAGGATTGGGTTCCGGTGAGAAGAAGAGTTAAGGTGAGAAGCGTAAGAACATATTTCAACCCTTGGATGCACATTAGGATGAGATGCACATAGATGCACCGGATCAATCCCCGTATCAAGCGCGATTCATGGGTGGGTTTGAGATTAAAGGTGACCAAGGGTCCAGATTCCTTTTCATGCTTCTCACCTTAAGTCTCCTTCTCACACGACCCTTTGCCTATATAATCATTATATATATGCCCTTCTCGAAACATTGTTTCTTACTGGAGCCAGAATGTGGTGTCAGAATGGATCTCCAGGTGGTGGAATTCATTTGGAAAAGCTGATATGTCTAAATGGAGTTATTTGTTGGAAATTTTCTGAGGTGGTCAAGATTCTAACATGTTAAGATCTTCTATGCTCAAGGCAAGTGGCAACTTACTGTAGATATGTTTTTATCTCTTGATCTGTTTCTGCAAATTGTCATATTATAGAGTTAAAGTTGTGGGGGATCCAAACGGTAAAGATGCTTTAGTGTACAAAACCAGAACATCTTAGAAGATTTCACAAAGCTCCTATTTTTCGGATTATTGGAGTAACTCATACAATTAACAAGAGCTCGTATAGTAGTAACCGAAACTGTGACAGTTACCCATTATGTGATGCTTCAAGTCCTTCCAAGCCTGGCATGATCTTTTACATGAGTTCCCTTGCAGCATTATCCTAAAATGGAACTGTTGGTTATTCTAATTTTTGGTTGAACTTTGTGTAATTTTTTCTCGGTATTGCAGATCCAAACAGTGGCGAAAACTGCTGGTATGAATCATAACCTGTGGGTGGAGAACGCTGATCGTTTGGTTGCTGGTTTTCTTGAAATGTTTGAAGAGGGTTGCCATAAAATGGTTCTCTCTCTCTCTCTCTCTTTCACTAGGAAACACGTGCATGATAATGTCTTTTTGAACCAGAAAATTGAGAAACCAGAAATGAAACATTGTAACCTTAACCACTTGTGTCGTGGCACACTGGTTAAGCCTCAAGGGGATGTAATGGAAAATCTCATCTACTTGAGGCTCGAACCCAAGTGCTGCCAAAGCCCTTGTGGCCAACTGGCCATGGGGTTTACCTGCAATGACTCCAAGCCATTCGTGGTCCCCAGGGGATTATTCGGTAAGCTGGCTCGGAAACCCACGGTTATACAAAAAAACGAAAAAGAACATTGTAACTTTGAGGTCCAACTCAACTGACAAGTAAATGCGAGGTCTTCGGGGCTACTCCCCATAGGTCGCTAGATAAGTCCTCACTGGGATTTTCCTAGTTGTTATCTCCAGGGACCCATGGGATTACTTGAGATGTGCCCGAGCTGGCCTGGACACCCACGATTACCAAAAAAAAATGGAACATTGAGAAGAAACATGAATATATTTTATAACTTTTCTCAGGGAACAGCCATCAGAGACAGAATACAGGAACAGTTGAAGGCAAATGCAAATAGGAGGGGACTTGCTAATGGCAACGATGAAGATGATGATGAATATTATTACGATTATAGCACCGAAGATGAAGAAGATTACTCCAATGGTGCCGAAGAAATAGCATCAGCATGAATACGGAAGTCTGGCCATACCTTCGTATGGACTATATATAGGTTGTGATATGAATTGGGTTTATTTCTACTGTACGATAAAAATTTGCAGCCCCGTTTCATTTCGAAATGTACGAAATCGAACTCTTGCAGAAAGTTGTGTTTTGGACTATATTTTTGCTGTAGTTTTAGACAATTTGTTTGGCATATAGTCTTGGTCTAGTTTTGTGGGGTATTCATTGGAAAAATGTCCATTGTACTTTGCTTTGATTTTGTGAGGACATGTAGGGCTCAAATCAAAAGAGGGTTTGTCCCCAAATGCTTCTAGACTAATGCTTTTTTGACATTATTGATAGATAATTTTTTATTTAATGCATTTAAATATGTATTTCAACGAAGTCGGACGATTCTGAACCATGAAAACGGAGTTGTGTGAGAGCAATACAGACGTTGTGCATGAATCTGTAAGTGGTTTAGGGAGACCGGTCCGGTCAAAGACTAGTTGGGATCTGTTAAGGTTAGACTGGTTTGGAACCGGTCGATTTGGACTTGTTATGGGTTTTCAACCAGACCGGTATTGATTGATTAGATGAACTAATTTTTTTTATAAACAGAACTAAATAGTTGATGATAATATTATCTATACTATATTATAAAACATTTGATAAGCACTCTTAAAAATCACTTTTTACGCATAAAATATTGTTTATTAATGTATGTTACTTAAATCTCAAGATTACAAATAGATTGTACGTAAGTACAACTTATTAAAGCTCCATATCTGAATTCGTATAACTAACTGCAGATAAACGTAATCAAATACATGATAAACATTTCGTTTTAAATATAAAAAATATAAAATATAATTAGGATAATTATTGAGTTCTAACAGAATACTTAATTATTATCTTTATAAAATGTTATATTATTAAACCAAAAATATATTATTTTATTATTAAATTTAAATTAAATTATATAAAAAAATAAATTAAAGATACATAAGAGATGAGAACTTTTAAATAGTTGATTTGATACTAACATTGATATATTCTTCTTCAAATTTATATTTTATTCAAAAATAAAATCATTATTGCTTTCTTAAAAACACATAAAATCGTATTATAACATCGACAGAGACAAAGAATAAAATAGAATATTAAAATTGAGATGTATTTCGCTGCATTACGCGAGTACTCTTCTAGTAACATATAATTAATATATAATTAAAAAATAGTTAAGATTAAGAAAACTGACTCGTGAGATAGATCAGGACTGGTCCAACCAACTTAATTTAGCCTTGGTATTTTCTTCGACCAACCCAGACCGGAACATGTTAAAAGCTTTTGGAGGGGGGGACCAATTCACTAACTGAAATGTCCATGCATACAGTAGATGGTGCAAAATACAAATCGAAACCACGAAGACCGTCTTGTGAGGAAGAAATAGAAGCGTGAAGCTAAACTGCTAAACCATGAAAAGCGCATTGCTATTAGGCCCGTACACGATTTGAGCCATGCTTGAACTCAATTAGACGGTGTTAAGCTAATGACGAACTTTATTTTATAGTTCAAATAACTCGATTTTTTTTATTTAAATTGTATTTGATAAAACGGGTTCGATTGGAAAGCTCGAAAAGTTTGAGTTCGTTTTTATCTGTTTTACTAATATTTAACGATCAACTTTAAGGGCTGTTTGTTTACCTCTTAATAGGCAGCCTCTAAAACACTAAGAGGTGAATCTTGTTTGGCAGAAAAAAGAGTTCGTCTCTTAATGGTTCTAAAACTTTCTTAATGATCTTGTATCTTGGGTATCTCTAAACCATTCAACACGTTAATTTCATTTTGAACAGTTACCAAACAACCATATTTCATTTTGCATTGTATCATAAGAACCTCTTAATCATTCTGACTACTTAATCATCCTACATCAAATCATTCAACAACGGTTAAACAACCTCTAAATATCAAATAAACTTCTTTGAATTATATTAACTCTTTCTTATGAATAGACAAGACTCTAATAGAATTTGTTTTTTAAAGATCGACAAAAATATTTCATATTTTATTTATTTATGCATCAAAAAAGATATTCCATTATATATAATATTCACAATTATATCAAATCTACTATTTTTATATAATTTTAATTAAATTAGTTGAAATTAGGTGAGATAATCTCCATATATTCTAGCACAATTAAATGACATAATATAAACAACTTTAAGAATTTTTCAATAAAGGTATTTACATAGTGTTCATAAGTGGTAGAATTTAGATTTATTGATTTTGTTGATGTTCACAAGTTATATCAGATCTTGTAGATTTAAAAAAATGTGTTCATAATATGTTTACAAATTATAATTAATATTTCTATGAAATTGTTCACAATGTGTTCACCTTGTGTACAACTTCAATTATTTATGTGCATGTGGATCTTATAGGTAGCGTTTGGTACGCATACATGATTGAACTTGACAGACAAGTATATGTCTGGTGTTTGGTACGACTATGACTGAACGAGACAGAAGTAAACAAGTTACCCCCAAAAGTTAGTTGATGATTTTAATTATTATATAATAGTTATAATTAACACAAATGAAACAGATAATTGAAGAATTAATTTTATAAATATTTTTACACAATTGTCATATAAATGAATACATACATATATAACAGTATCAAATTTGAATGAAAAATTTGATATAACTGATAGTAGTAGTGGTGGTGGTCGGTGGTGGACGGTGGTTATGGAGGTAAAGGCAATGATGGTTGGTGGACAATGGTTGTTATATAGGACGTGAAGATGGTGGATTGTGGTGGTGGTGGTGGTGGTGATGGTTGACAACAATGGAGGAGGTGGTTGGGGCTTATGAAGTGAAGATAGTGGTGGTGGTGGTTATGATGGAGGTGGGGTGGCAATGGATGGTGGTGGTCGATGGTCGACGGTGGTTGTAGAGATTGTGGAGGACGTTGTTGCAGTAGAGAAGGAGTTGAAGGTGGCCAACGGTGGTGGTGGTTTGTTTGGGGTCGATGGTGATTGTAGAGGTGGCAATAGACGGTAGTAGTTGATAGTCGACGGTGGTTGTGAAGGTCATGGTGGAGGTTGTTGCGGTATAGGAGGAGTTGGAGGTGGCCAACGGTGGTAGTGTTGGTGGTAATGGGTGGTGGTAGTTGTAAAGGTGGCAATGGACGGTGGTAATCAATGGTTGTGGAGGTGGTGAAGGAGGTTGTTGTAGCAGATGAGGATCTGGAGGTGGCGAACAGCGGAGGTGGCAATGTACGATGGTGGTCGGTGGTCGATTATGGTAGAGGTGGCGATAGACAATGTTGTTGTAGTGGAAGAGGAGGTGGCCGCCGGTGACCGTCGGTGGTGGCGTCGGCCGAAACTAGCAGTGATACCATTAAAACAAATATCATATTAAGGTTATATATCAAACTATAGTAGATTAGTAATATTTTAGTTTAGTCTCATTATGTCTCACCTAGTCCCAGTTTTCGTCCATGTCTCATATCATGCCAAACATAAGATAGTGAGTTTTTATTTTATCTCATACTGTCTAAACGTGAGATAGTGAATTTTGCACCAAACACAACTATAGATAGATAAGAGAGAGAGAGAGAGAGAGAAAAAGATAAGAATGTTTTAATTTATCAAGAAGTCCTTGATTAAATATAACATATAATAATGTGTATATTTTATTTATTAAAAAGATACTATTTATAGAATATCTTACAAGGAGTGTTCCAGAATGAAAACCAAAGGAATCCGCAATTGCTGGCGGAGGCTCCACACTCTCAACCAATTTAAAACGTGAATATAACCATTTGCGTTTTTTTTTTCTAAATTAGAAATGTATTCATGTAATGCAGTAAGATATATCTTCATTTTAATATTTTTTTTATCTTTGTCGATATTATAATACAAATTTATGTGGTTTTGAACAAATAATAACGTTTTTCTTGATAAAATATAAATTTGAAGATATCATAAAATATATATATATATATATATAAGTTATCTTGTGTAATTTATTTAATTTAATTTTTTTATTATAATTTAATTTAGATTTAATATCGAAATAATTTATTTTGAGTTTAATAATATAATTTTATAAAGATAATAACTAAGTATTTTGTTAGAACTCAATAATTATCTTAGTTATATTTTAAATTTTATATTTAAAATGAAAATATTATTCTGTATTTGATTATATTTATCTACAATTAGTTACATTAATTCAAACATGAAACTTAATAAGTTGTATTTACGCATATGCATCAATAAGCAGTACTTCATGTATAAAATATGGTTTTTAACAGTTTTTATCAAATGTTTTATAATATAACTAGAAGCATACTCGCGCAATGCAGCGAGATACATCGTAATTTTAATATTTCATTTTATTCTTTATCTCAGTCGATGTTATAATATGGCTTTATGTGACTAGAAGCATACTCGCGCAATGCAGCGAGATACATCGTAATTTTAATATTTCATTTTATTCTTTATCTCAGTCGATGTTATAATATGGCTTTATGTGATTTTGAGAAAGCGATGATGTTTTTATTTTTGAATAAAATATATGTTTGAAGATATCATAAAAATTTGACAAAAATATATCGATATTAGTATCAAATTAACTATTTGAAATTCCTCATTTTTTTGTGTAATTTTTAATTCATTTTTTTATAATTTAATTTATGTACAATAACGAAGTAATTTATATTTGGTTTAATAATATAATTTTTTATAAAGATAATAATTATTTATTTGATTGTGTTTATCTGCAGTTAGTTACACGAATTCAGATATGGAATGAAATCGGATAGAGATGAAATCGTTTAGGGATGAACGGGTTTAAGAGTTTTTAAGAGTTTTAGCCAAATGCTTTACAAAATAGTATAGATACAGATTCTGATTTCATCTCTTAGTAATTTCTTTTCCAAAATTACAAAAAAATAACCATATGTTTATAATTTACGGAGGAGTCAAAATGTAAAAAACAATGAAGTTTCTAAACCAGGTCGGTAATTATAGGGACCAAATATGTAAATTTGGAAATACACATTCACAGTTGCATACATATTTATTAACGCAATTGCGGACCTGGTTCAGGAACTTCATTTTTTTACACTTTGACACTTCTGCAAATTGCGGACCTATAGCTATTTTCGTAATTTTGAGAAAGAAAATGGTTAAGAGGTGAAATCCACCGTGAAAAAAGACTTTTTTTATTTAATTTCCCTATTCTTTACTCATTTTTTTGTGACAAATATTTTTTGTCTGATTTAAATGTATATAACAGTTAACTTGAACACATGAATTTAATTAATTAAATCTCATATACTTTTTAAAATTTATATTTTATGATACATATTTTTGAAATACACGTTTAAACTTTCTGTAATTTGAAAATCATTCATAGTAATATTTAGGGATCGTTTACCTAAACACTTATCCGGTAAACACTTATCGGTAAAATTCAACACTGTCGCTTATTTACCGGGTAAGATTTTATTCACTAAAACGCATCGTATGCAACAATTTATCCCGATAAGCGCTAACTATGATAAGAGTCATCGTTCTTATTTACCGGGTAAGACTCTCGATTCTTGCCTTTGCTCTTACCGGTAAGATTTTTAATCCTTGTCGTATTCATCCGATAAAGTAAAGTGACTTGGTAGGCGTTTACCCATGTAAGCATTTGGTAAACGACACCTTAATGCCAATATCCGATGTTGCTTTTCGGATATTTAAATTACGTTATCCAAAATATACAGTTTTATAATATGACCCTTTCAATAGACATCTTATAAATTTTAGACCCTTAAATTTATTTTCTTAAGGTATTATTATTAAAATAAAAACTGGAAGGGTACTCGTGCAATGCATTGAGACACATTTTCATTTAAATGTTTCGTTTTATTTTTTATCTATGTCGATATAATATGATTTTATGTGGTTTTGAAAAAACGATAATGTTTCTATTTTTGAATAAAATATAAATTTGAAAATATCATATAAAATTTGCAAAAAATATCAATATTAGTATCAAATTAATTATTTAAAAATTCTTCTTTGTTTATTTTTTTAATTCAATTTTTTTATTATAATTTAATTTAACGTAACGAAGTAACCTAATTTAGGTTTAATAATATATTTTTTTTAAAAGATAATAATTAAGTATTCTGTTATAACTCAATAATTATTCTAATTATATTTTAGATTTTTTTATATTTTAAAATGAGATGTTTATCCTTTATTTGATTATGTTTATGACAGTTAGTTATACGAATTCAAACATAAAGCTTTAATAAGTTGTACTTATGTATAATTTACTTGTAATCTTGAATTTTAAGTAATATGCATCAATAAACAGTACTTTATGCATAAAAAATAGTTTTAAGAGTTTTTGTCAAATGTTTTATAATATAATATAAATTCCTTGTAATCTTAAATTTTAAGTAATATGCATCAATAAACAGTATTTTATGCATAAAAAATAGTTTTTAAGAGTTTTTGTCAAATGTTTTATAATATAATATAGATTCCTTGTAATCTTAAATTTTAAGTAATATGCATCAATAAACAATACTTTATGCATAAAAAATACTTTTTAAACTTTTTTATCAAATATTTTATAATATAGTATAGATTAATTGTAAATACACATATTTTTTTCTCAAATAAAACAAGGAAAGGGACAAAGCAAGCCATGAAATGGGTAAAATTGTATTTTTGGTTTTTGTATTTATATATAAAAATAAATCATATAATTTTTATAAACAAATAATTTTTTATATAGTTGTCTTCAATAATTTTGTTCAGATTATATTTACATATTTGGTCCACATAATTTACCCTTGTTTTAAATTGAGTCCCTTAAATATATATAAAATGCACTAATTATTCAATTTTTTTGAAAAAAGTGGAGTGTGAGAAACGATAGAAAAATGTGGTGTCATGGCTATGAAAAACATTTTTCTCTATGTATCGTTTCTTGTTAGAGTCCATATACACACCAAACTGTTGGGTGACAGCTATAAAGATATATTTCTTGAATTTGGATTGCAAGTTGTTCCCTTGTGGCCAAGGAGGTTCAAATGCGGTGACTCCGAGCTACCCGCAAAACAGGTGGTCATCATGTGATTAGTCGGCTCGTATAGCGGGTTGGATATCAAGGTTAATAAAAAAAAGTGACGAATGACATCGTCTTACACTTCATACTGGTTTTTTCAAGTCCATGTTTGGACTGTCATTGCATTCTTCTCTTATCCCTTTTTAGTTTTACGGTTTCGTGTTGTTTTTAATTATGATTCTGTTGATATATATACACAAACACAACTACTTAAGAAGCAGAATTACAAGTCCAATTGCAACTGTAACCACAACTCTTGTTGAACTTTTCATTCATACCAGCATGGATACCAAATAAGTAACAGAAAAATTGGCAATATCACAATTTACAGATAGAGTAACAGACTGCATGGTACATGTTGAAAACCAAGAATTTTGGGAATGCTCGAGTTCACGGATGAGTACCCTCAATTGGCGTGCATTTCATGCCTATCATCAATCCAAGGAACTCGGAAAATAATCATACGCTCAGACTCCAACAGACGCTCTATCATGTTGACATGATTACAACATTATAAAATTTCCATCGTTTACAATTCTCTCATACGGAAACACATTTAAAAGAGAGATGAAAATTTAAGTAGTACTAGACAAAAATCATGAATCTTGAAAGCTAGACACGTTTTAGAGCTAAACTTGTTAATTATAGCTTTAGGAAGTTTTTATTTGTTATTTTATGGCCAGGTTTTGTATAAATAAATACAAGAATTATGTAATTATAAATTATTTACTTTTAGATTAATAAACATGATCGAGGGAAAATCCGTCGCTAAAAGTCCCTCCTAGTCCCTATTTGATCCGTTGCTGAAAGTTTCTCTCGCTGAAAGATTTTCTCATTGAACTGTTGCTGAAAGTTTCCCTCACTGATTCGTCGTTGTATCTGTTCCTTCATTGATCTGTCGCTGAAAGGTTCTCTCGCAAATCTGTCACTGAGTTCCATCGCTGATATCATTACCTACGAGCTTTTGAACGAAAGATTATCAGCGACGGACAACACCTTTAGCGACAGATTAGCGAGGGAATGATACTCTTCATTTTTATAGTGATAGAAATTAAACGATGTCATTCAAAACAACCAAACCTTTAAAGCTAAACCATTTTAGACTGAAAAAATCAAATCCCACAAAATACAAATCATTTCAAACCAACGAAAAGATTATACTTTACCTCTTACACTCTCTAACGGAGTGTAAATAAAAAAGATACAGATTATTTTCAAATGGGGTCATATTGTTCGATAGTATCTGGTTCACGAGATTGAAGAACATCAAGAAGTGACGGACGAAAATGTAATTACTGTAGCTGGTGAAGTGAAGGACAAAAGGGGATTTAGTTGAGTTGACACAGACTCTTGTGGTGAAAAAATTTACTGGCATCACTCAAAAGTGTTGAGATGTCTGGGAAACTTTGACTGCTTATGGATAAATAATGATCTTGCAAAAACGAAATGAAATTTAAGATGCAAAAGCATATCTAAATAAAGTTTTGAACTTCGAGGAATGAAATTAGCATAATGAACTATTATTTCACTGTGATTGTATACACAAACTGTTCTTTATCTGAAGTAATAGAGAGGACTGAGGAGCCCTAGACACTTTTTATGGAGTGCATGCCACTTATGGCTGTGCAAGTACTTTCTTTAAGTTGGAATCCCTCTTTTGTTTGTCTGGAATTTGCAGTAAATGATTTTGACATCAAAACCAAAATCAAGTAATCCAGCATCCACATAAATCAGAAAAACACTAAACCATAATTAAGTAAAGCAGTAAACTATAAACCAGGAAGCTAAAGAGGCAGAATCCCATTAACGCAAAAGAAAAGAATCAAGTAAAGAAGAAATCCAAAAGCAAGCAAAACCCCATTAAAGTTGAGAAATAAAGGGTTCAAGTAATATACCTTAATTCAATAATCAACATAAATTAGTAAAGATGTTTACCTGAAAAAGAGACTATTGGGTCGAGAGTTGATGATTTAAAAAGTGTGACGGTTTACAGATGAGCACTGCAGCAGGGTCAGAAGGAAGGGGTTTGTAAAGGAGAAGATATTGGAAAGTCTTGACGATATTGTACCTTTCCATTAGAATCAGTAACGGTAAAAACCCTGTGAATTGATAAAGTTAAGGTTTCAAGAAAGAAAGAATACTCACAATTGAATTTAAAGTCCTAAGGGTAACCTCCAGATTAATTCAAAAGATCTTGAAATAACAAGAAACGTCTTTACCTGGAAAATGCCAATCGTCACCTTGAACACAGTAAAGAGGCTTGGAAACATAAAAGTTTGAAAAGTCAAATCGGAAACATAAAAACACAAGGTATAATAAGTTATGCATTAATAGCTTATATATCATGCTTAGGGGCTGTTTACGAAATTTTTTATTAAGTCCTGTATGTATAAATTTGTCTGTCTGAATAAATGAGTGTTGTTTATTTTTTTTATTTGAACCAACAATCTGAATAACATAAATGGCTAACCTACCCCCAATATTAATTATTTGAACATCAAAACAAACAAATCATAAAGAGGTTGACGATGAGTTGTCTCATTTGGGAAGGAGGCGATGTTTTAAATAAGGGATAGAAGTGTTATTTTTGTGGCTGAATGAAGACAACACACCATTTCTATATATGCGATTAAGCCATGTTTTGTATGAATAAGCAGTAAATAAACAATTCCGTAAGTAATCGACACAATTAAAAGATTTTAAAACTAGATGTATAATAAAATAAAAAATAGTGAAGAAAAAGTAAATAGTGATACAAGAGTTAAAAATGGTATATTTGGACACTTTACAATCTGTCCTTGTCCGTTAGCCACGCGCTCCGTAAACACCAAATCCGGTTTCTGTGTATCCACTACTCCCTCCTTCCATATCGAAGCGAAACCCTCTAACCCCCCTTTGATAAAGTCTTCTCTCCTCATCTATAATTGGTTTCACCACACCAATCAATCCACCTTCCATGAATCTGGATTGTGGCTTAAGAACTAGATCTTGCCGTGTCATTCAAGACACTACCATGGCTGTTGCTGCTTTGGACCTTCAAGATGCAGATGAAGAAATTGTGGATGATGGTTTGAAACAGAGTTGTTGGGCTAATATGCCCCAAGAGCTCTTACGGGAGGTCTTGATCAGGATTGAATCGTCCGAAGATAAGTGGCCTTCCAGGAAGAATGTTGTTGGTTGTGCTACTGTTTGTAGGAGTTGGAGAGAGATCATGAAGGAGATCGTCAAAAGACCTGAGCTTTCTGGCTTGTTGACTTTCCCTATTTCTGTCAAGCAGGTGATCAATCCCTCAATCTCTACCTGGAATTGTGTTTCTTTTTTGTGTTAGTGGGAATTTATTTGTCCCCCATATGATCCACTATTAGGTTAGAATTAGATTCTGTCTATAAATTTGTTGGTTCTGCGTTTTGTTGGATGTAGACAAACGGATCCCCCACTGATTGATTGCATTAAGAAACATATAATTGTACATATATGGTACATGGGTTGGGAAATAAGAAATGTCTATAACTATTGACCTAATACACTCGGGCATAAATGTTAAAGATGTCTAACTTGTCACATATATCCATACAGGATGAATCTTATATGAACTCTGCAATACCTTTAACCGGCTCAAGTGAGGGAGGCTCCCTTAAACTGCCCATCTTCTCAAGTACAAAGTGCCCTTTAATATGGTTATGAGAATATGTTTCTTAGAGATATAATAATCATAACACATCATCATTAGGTGATCGATCACCAAATCGTGAACCATACAATGGCTTACAAGCATGATACTACATCATCAACCTCCTAGTGTTTGAGCACCAGCATGACTAGCATTTGAATTGTCTCCAACTCTGTTAAGTGTCTGAGGCACCCTTCAATTATCTTGAGATCCATAAAATACTTCCCAATGGTTAGTATAAGGGAAGCATGAAATAACCACGCTATAGAGAAGGCTAGTCCAATTAGTGTCTTATATGGGTTCTGTATGTTCAGAAAATTACTAAATTTGGGCATGGTATCTCTCTCTATATATATATGTATATGCGTGTGTGTATGTGTGTGCATGCTAATACTGGGGACAACTAACTCAAACAAGCAAACACCATGGCAATATTTCAAATTTTACCACAATGATCCATTGAAATACTTACAGTTCCGACTGACATGCGCGTAAACATTGATTGTCAATGCTAAAAGTAGTAATGAATCATTGGAAAACAAAATAGAAGCAGCTGAGAAAGACTCAAACGAACTCAGAGAGGAGAAAATGAGATAATCTGTAGCATAGGTCGGGGGGAGGTCCAGGGTAACAGTTAGCTGAGAAGAGAAGAGTAAGGAAGTACATGAAAATAGTATTATTGGTAGATATACACCAATTAAATAGAAGAAGCTGGGTAGGCAGATTGGTCTGAATGAAGAAAAAAAGCAAAAGACTTTAACTGAAAATGTTTTCTTGACATATCCATTTCCCTGGAGAGACAAACAAGGTATCCTGAGACTACATAGAGGAAAATAAAGGGAGAGGAGAAGGTAAAGCCTAAATGCTAAAATCCTAGCTATAATGTCTGACAGTTGGTAAAATGATTGATTCTTGTTTCCAACACAATAGCTACCATCTATACCAGCAAGTACTGAGCATATTAATCCCAGGTGCCAAAAAGTCCATGATTACGAAAGATATATCAACAAATATGAACTGATTTCCGTTTTACATGAACTTCGTGACTGTTACAAGTATCTTTTATGGTTGATCATCATAAAAGAATATGGCAAAGTAACATTCAAAGGACGGCTTGAATTAAAGCATGTAATCTTTCTGGGAATCGACTTACTGGCCAAGGTATCTGCCAATAATAGGAACTTCAAAGAGTCAACTATAAACATACGGGGACACAATAGAAAACTGAGATGGCCTGATAAGACACTAAAATAAACTCTCATTCATGTAGAAAGAGAAGAAAACAGATGCCATGCAAAATTTGGAGTCCATTATTAGGTGCCTCAAGTGACTAAAAAATATAAAACAATTTCAAGGCAAAAGTGTGGAACTGATCACTGGATAAACCTATGAAATTAAGGTGCAAGTTACTTCTGGCAAAATCGAAGGATGGTTCATCAATATTATCTTCAATTTCATTTTGCATTAGATATATTATAAGAAAATTGAGAAAAAGGTAATCAAATAAATGAGCTGGGGAGTTAAGGACAACCTGTTGCCTTGATTTTATTCCTTTATTGACTATCCTTGCTGTCAGCAGTGATGTTTAGATCCCCGCTCTCCATGTTGGTTAGGTGGAAGTTACATCTCTTGCATCAGAGGTGCAGCCTGGTAAACGATATATTCGATATAAGTGCTGGATGTTTATTACTACCAACTACTCTCACCTTGATAAACGATATATTCTATATAACTGCTGGCTTCCATTATAGTTCCTGCTTTCAAAAAAGGCCTCCTCTTCTATATGGTGTTTATTATGTTCTGGAAACTATCTCATGCATCATATGTCATCAAATTTCCTTATAGTTGGTATTTGAGATTGATACATCTTGCTGACACATGAAAGTACTTCGCTAGTTAATGTTGAAGCTTCATATTTTGCTTCCAAATAAATTGATAAAGCTGAGATTTTAGTCAAATTGGCTTCTTTACTTTCTCGGTTCTAATAATCTCTTGCTATGATGTGCAGCCTGGTCCAAGAGAATCTCTCCTCCAATGCTTTATAAAACGGAAGCGGTCTACTCAAACATATTTCCTCTACCTCAGTTTGACTCAAGGTACACATCCCTTTTCATATTTTCCCCTCAAATGGGTGGCCCTTGGGGGTATAGGGAAAGTCCAGCCTGACCCCTAGAACCGGCTATCCACACCGTTCAGTTCCTCATTAACTGAAAACAGTAGCCCCTTGACCTTCTTAATTTTCCTATTTTCTTATAAGTTATGTATTTTCACCTCTGGATTCATATTAATTACTTGGTGCCCATCAACGTGGCAGCACTTGCTGATGATGGAAAATTTCTTCTTGCTGCTCGCAAGTTTAGACACCCCACATGTACCGACTACATCATCTCTTTACATGCTGACGACATGTCAAAGGGCAGCAGTAGATATATTGGGAAATTAAGGTGGGTTGCAATTTGAAACGATCAACTGGTTATAATTTCTTTTGGAAATTACAGTAACATCATTTCTTTATGATTTGCATAGATCAAACTTTTTGGGAACAAAGTTCATTGTATATGATGGTTTGCCACCTCATGATGGAGCTAAAATGACAAAGAGTCGCTCCACTAGGTTTATGGGTTCCACTCAAGTCTCCCCTAGAGTTCCTGCTGGAAGCTATCCAGTAGCTCATATTTCATATGAGTTGAACATGTTGGGATCCAGGTAAGATGAAATACTTATATTAGTAGTTACTTGAATTAAATATCTCTGCTAACAGCTAATTATATTAGTACGCTTGTTTTATACAGGATTTGTTCTTACAAAATTTTGAAATAATTTTTTTTTGTACAAAAAGATCATTTTTATATTTTGATGTTGTCTCTGTATAACAAGCAGGGGTCCAAGAAGAATGCAGTGCATCATGGATCCCATCCCAACTTCTGCAATTGAACCTGGAGGTGTGGCTCCAACACAGACCGAGTTTCCCCTTAGCAGTGGTGAATCTTTTTCTTCAATTCCTTTCTTCCGATCCAGATCAAGCAGTGTGGAAAAAAGCATGTCCGGGGTGTTGGGTAATCAGAGAGATGGGCCTCTAGTTTTGAAAAATAAATCTCCTAGATGGCATGAGCAGCTTCAGTGCTGGTGTTTAAATTTTCAAGGACGTGTAACAGTTGCTTCAGTCAAGAATTTTCAGTTGGTAGCCACACCACCTAGTGGACAGTCTGGACCACAATATGAGAAGGTTATTCTCCAGTTCGGAAAAGTAGGGAAGGATGTGTTTACCATGGATTATCGCTACCCAATATCTGCTTTTCAAGCATTTGCCATCTGCCTGAGCAGTTTTGATACCAAGATTGCTTGTGAATGATGTGGACTGACAGGTTGCAACCAATCTTTTTAAGCATTGGTACTTATACAGTTACTAACTTTGGAGTGATTTCATCTCTTAATTATTTGTGGACTAACTGAACAATGAACTAAAACATGCGTGAAATCATGTAAAATGTGACATGTTCCCAATTTCTATAGGATCACTCCACGTCAGGCATTAAGGACCTACGGAGCAAAATACCATATTATTTACTTCTTGTGATGATATAGTACGAATGAGACTAGGTCATTAACAAAAATCTAGAGTTATCGAGTTTAGTGGGCTTAGCACAAGGTGGATTAAAATTTAAAACAGAGCACCTGACATGCAATTTTAACCATGTCGATAAGTAAGTTGAAAATATGGTAAGCATGTTTGAACAAGAGGCTCACAGGAGCCTCTTTTATTGTTTGCGGTTGATTCACGAGGAAAATATTTTGGTTATAGGATGAAGTAGTGACAAGTATCTTATGTGATCAAAGATCTCATTGAAGCTACACATAAGTTAATAGAATTTTGGGTGAGACCTGGTTTGATTTAGGAAATATAGATGAAATGGCCGTTGAATTGGCTTGGTTTTTCACTTACATACCTCAAGTCCTAAACAGAAAGATTATAAATCGCATATCAAATTATCTCATCATATCACCTGCATCCTTTCTGGTCAATTGAGGTGGGATTGCACCAATACCCAAGTTGGTAATATATGCTTTAATTCACGAGCCATGATCTTCTTTCAATTTATCGACTTATCAAACTCCCTTAATTTTGACTTTAATTTGTTAATATCTATGACAATTGGATGCAAATGATATAATTGATATGATTATGAGGATATGGATATGTGATTGATAAATCTTTCTGTCGGGGTGTTTAAATGAAAAACCATGGAACTTAGTGTCACTTTATATATTTTGCCTATGATTTGTGGGGTAGTACGACCGTGTCTTGGAAGGCACATTCAAGACAAGCATATTAGATGTTATGTGATGTGGCCAAGCAAGGATTGGTAGGATTAGAAATAAATCTGAGAAGGATGGGATGGGAAGATAGAGAAGAATTGACGGTTGGGATTGTTATTTATATTCATCGGTGACCTTTAGATACACCAGTTTTAACTTTAAGACCTGAAACCAAGATGAGACTTAATTAGAGGGAGGAAGGAGTTGATCAAGATCAGTATGGGGAATAATGAAGAGAGATACCAAAAGGTGGAGAATACCCTAGAAGTTGGTATTGTATATGAGAGCATGGAAGGATGATATTAATGTTTTTTTATTTTCTAATGTAATATCTATACACGGCAAATGAACTCACACACCCTCCTCATCTTTGGTGATTTTTTAACCCCTGACCTCTTGGAAGGAGGGGCTCTAACGGTAATCCGGATACCGCTAGGCCAAAGGCCTATAAGTTAATCTCTGTATAATTTATGATGATCTTCATTTTTACCTACTCCGACTAATGCTATATGAAAAGTTGATTGTCGTTGTCACCCAATGTAAACAAATATATCTCTTCTGATGACCGAGGTCACTAGTACATTGTTTGTGTCAAAATTTCCCCGAGCTCATTTCCATATATGACATGCTTGTTAGTTTTAAAACTTGGCCTTGCAGTCCAACCACTGGAAAACTGTTGTCTACATATGCTTTTGCATAACCAAGTATTTAGGGTCTCATGTATTTATGTGCCCTGACCCATAGCCTATCTACGCATATAAATTCTGGTTTCCCTGGTAATAATACATTCTTCAAGCCCTAATATTTATATTGCGTCAAAGCGACACCACAAGTGCTAACAGCCCTGGCCTCCACCATTCACCTTCACTACTTTTTACCACCACTAGCAAGCAGCAAAAAGGCTGTACACGTCCTACTCTGCCATTGACTGGCTTAGTTTAATCCACACTGTAGAATATCGCTGCCATCTGTGGCTTCTAGGCTGTGCCTCACCCAGACAGTGAGCTAGCTAGTAAGCTTTGCCAGTATCTTCTGATTCTTCTTCATGCCTCCCCACCTCTGTTTGGTGCTTGCATGGGACCAGCCATGACTTGCTGCACTTTGTTCGCAAGAACTGTTGGCTGCTGGCTTAGGCTTTTTTAGCCATTGGCAAGCTCCACTAACTTCCAATTGGACTTGTTTAATTGATGCTTTTGTGTTGCTTGTTGCCATCATTAATTTTCTGACTGTTCTGAGGAATGCTTGTGCTGCACTGAGTTTGTGGATTGCCTAATATATGAGAATTGAACTAGTCATGATACTTCAAACTTTTCATGCCATAAAGTTATTTTGAATATCTTGATTTTCTCAAAATATTTTGATGTGATTGCTATAAAATTGATCTGAGATGCAAGATGATGGTGCATTTTGAGGATTACACATATTTCCTAAATTCATGTATATGTTATTATCTCTGGACTCATTTCACTTGGGTGTCCATCTAGTTTTGATTGTACCTTGCGTTTTGCGTCTGCCAGGTTTTGATTTTCAGTTTATCACAAAGAAACAAAAGGAGACGATGCATGAATAGTGATTGTACTAACTTCTCAGGTCCAAACCCACACCTTGTACCAAGTTCACATGGTTAGACATGTCACCTACATACAGTAGTGCATGTGTCTCATCATGGAATATTGGCTCTTGTGAGTACTTGTTAGAATTAGCAATATTTGCAAGTTCCTCTTAAACGTTAAACAAAGTTGCAATGAGAACTCACAAGTGTTTGCCTATCCAAAAACAAGTTACAATTAGATTCATAATACCATGTACAGACCTGCTTACCATAGGAAAGTCAAGGAAGTTGGTGACTTGATACCTCCGTTATCAGGGACAAAGAAAGTTGGATGTAGGCTGTTTTATATCGTGTTGAACCACTTCAAAATTGTGTCTTGAAAAGTTCTCTTTAAGTTTATCTTTCTTATTAGACATTCTGTAAACTTATCTAGTTATCTTTATTCCCAGTTATGTGATCTGAAGCACTAGAATCTATAGTCGAAGAAGAGGTGGTTGCATTAAGACAAGTATCAAGTATGTGCACCGTTAGCTGAACCTGAAAGATGCTGTAATTTCGGGCAAGTCCACATCCAATGGCCAAGTTTCTAACATTAACAATATCATGTCCGAGAAAGGTCCCGTGTCTCAAACCCTCTATAAGTATCTGTCCTAAATCCATCATAAAATAATATTGCTGACATGTTTGCCATCATATCACTCCAACCAGACCATCTACCAAACTGGCTTCCTCTTCTATCAAACCCATTTTATATTCTTACCAGATATAGGCAACTAAAGGCTCTATGAACATCTCTTTCAAAAAGGAGTCCCAGAAATGTACCAGAAGAAGCAGAGTAGGACAATTCGAGTCTTGCATGGATGGCATACCACCAAATGAAGTTTGGCAGACATAAATAGACCATCCATTTCATTCCTTATCGTTCAACTTGCTTTAAATAGTTAAAGATTTGATTTTTAATGCTCATCCTACAGTCAATATTTTCCCCCTTTGCTTTGTCATCCTATGTAGTAGTTGCAAAAAGAAAAGAAATATTCTGGCTCCAACTAATAGCAAAGAAAGGCAGGAAACAAGCCAAATATCCATGTCAAACATGATTTCTCCCAAGTATGTAGTATTGCATAACTTTTGATTGAATAGAGTACAATGTGGCTCATTGGCCTAAATTAACCCTACAATAAAACCTAATTACATAGTAACATAAAGAAACATATTAACCCTAGTATTCTAACATTTACTGCACTTCATAGTATGTTAAGTTTGTTATTACTTAGTACCTTCCTAACCCTTGGTGCTTATACTTATTGTCTACTCGGTCAATAAAAGATATGTATCTATTTCTGTAACCTAAATACTTTTATAGAGGAAGCCTACCATACTCAAATGGGCAGAGTTTTTTTAACTTCACACTTCTGTTTGGGTACATTCGCATTTGTCTGATAATTCATTTTATGTTTTATGAACAATCGGCAATCCACTTCATTATGTGCAAATAGGGTTGTTCTTCACTACCGTTACTATCCTAAGAGGAGATAGGCTTCCAGTGATATTAGATGAGAGATTTAATCCCAAAATGACGTGAGCATACGGCAAGTATAAACAAACTGTGAGGAGAGACCCCAGAGAGAAGCTAGGATAGAGCTTCTTCAAGCACATGACTTTTAGGATCCAAATTACGAGTGCACAAAATCCTGTAATTCATCATACGCTTTTGAGTATGTGTAATTTTATTTGAGTAGTTCCCCTTATTGCGATGTCAATAGGCTTCTGAGAATATATTATGCTTGGGACACGTTTGGTTACAGAAGGGATGTCAATGTAGGTATCTTGGAAGCTTCACAATGAAATTTCACAGCCATATAAGCACCACTGTTATTGGCTATTTGGCTTCCCAATCTGTCATCAGAGCAAGTGGATTTTTAGTTAGATGGTAACCTTTTATATACTTTTCAGACGTTGCACAAATATTGATCACCAAATCAAATCGGGGAGCTTTCAGTTTGACAGGAATTTTAGTTGCAATTCCCATAACATCATCAACATTTTCATGCATGGTTAACAGATTAGAGATTAATCATGATTAAACAAGGACCTACCGAGCAGGCAGACAAAGTGATGCAAATTCCATATAAGACCAGATCCTAGGATTAAATGTTGTGTGTAATCCGGGATGTGCTCTGTGTAGCCAGTGATAGGATGCCATGTCATCCTCAAACAAGATCTACCTAGGTCACTTCTTTAGTTTAGTCTTTAGCGTATCGGATTTACCTAATTTTATCAATCCTATGGTGTAATTCTCTTCCACTCTGACCTGCCACGTGTCCTTCATTCACCCACTCGCTCACTGTAACTAGAATTTATAACACCTGTGACTAGAGCCTTGCTGTAAGCACCACAATGTACTACCGAAATTATATGGACCCATAGACAAGGGAGGCCCGGCTGATTGATACAAGTTTCTTGCATTGAATTAGCAAAGGTCACCATACTGATTGCTGAGTAATTTAATGCATCTTGCTGCAGATCAGTATTTTTGACTAATCATGTTACAACCCACATTAGTTTGATTATAATTACGTCATTTGTATTCCCTTGATATCTATCTTTTGCCTAGTAGGGTTGGTACATCTTAGTGTTATAAATGGATTCAATGGACATGCAAAGTGATTGGGACCTCTGATGTCACGCTTGTAGTGAAGCCGGACTATCATATTGTTTCTTGAGATTTCAACTATGGTAGATGATTTTTTTACTAAAATAACTTTCCTCATAGTAGTCTCTCTTTTATGACTAGAAAAGTATTGTAAACCATGGGTGTCCTGACCGGCTTGCGTGCACCTTAACTAAATCCCATGGGACCCTGAAGATAAGAATTAAGAAAATCCCTGGTGCCCCTAGGAGACTCGAACCGGCTACCTATGAGGGGGGCCCTTAACTATGGTAGATGATCTGATGTACATATAAGGCATTTGTATACTGTGATTGAGCATGATTGTGGTTGCAACTGTTACTGATTCCTTGCTCGTTTGCTTTTTCACAGGAGCAAGTTTGATGCATTAAAATCAATGGTGAGATGGAAATAAAGATCTGAAAAAGGTATGTTTTCATGGCGTGAATGCAGGCTTAACAGCTAAATATGTGTCCTAATATGCACGAAACAAGCAGAAGGAAATTTCAAAATAAGAAGCCATTCATTGATGGCGCTGCTTTTGTGGGTTTTCATCGTTTCTTTTGTACATAGTAATTATTTTCTGTAAAAGTGTCTGCTTGTTTCACTGAGGGATTTCAGTTGTATGTTTGCTGTGGAACCATACAGTTTACTGGGTTTTCTTTTCACCTCTTTTTGAGTGTTACATATGCAGAAAAAACACATTTACATTCAGTAAAAAAAAAAAGGGTTTTTTAACTGTAAAAGTGTGTTTTGTAATTGGCCAGTTTCACTCTTCCTGTCTAGACCATCAGACTCTTGTAAGTTTCTTTGTTCAAACTTGTGGCATTAGATGTGGTGTGGTGACCATTTTATCATTATGGTAGACTGTTTTAACCTTGCTTAGAAGTCATTGGCTGGTGAAATTGAGTGAATTGTTTGTTTGGTTGCCTTCATTTTTAGTCATTGATGTCAATCTTGAAAGCAAATTAATCTCTGAAGGAAATGAAGATTTCAATTTGTCTGGTATGGTATGCACACGTGCATAAAAATAAAGAAACAACTTTAATTACTTGTATGAACATATGCATACCGTCTAGATGAATGATTATTAGAGTGTTCTTTTGTTTTGTTTTTTTAGGTTTTCTCCTGAACCCTATGTCCCAGTGATACATAAATTTTAGCCAATAACAAAAGGAAGTCCAATCTACAACATTAAGGATCACTTTACTGATGAATATCCACTAAAATCAACTCGGACACCAAGGGGTCGTTTACCCAATTGCTTATTCAATAAGCGCTTAACAATAGGATTCAACGCTATGATTTATTTTGGTGCGTAAGATTTTAGTACATCAAAACATATCGAATGCAACAATTTACTGGGTAGGTGTTTACCTGGATAAGAGTCGTCATCCTCACTTACCGGATAAGACTCTCTATCATTCTCATCGTTCTTACCCAGTAAGATTATTCGTTCTTCTCATGTTCATCCGATGAGGAAATATATCCGTTAAGCACTTACCAAGTAAGTGTTTGGTAAACGACCCCTAAGATCGTTAGTGTCAGTATTTTGAAAATTAGTTTAGGTTTTAGGGCGCTTCCCTGAACCCCATCAGGACAAACCACTATAGCCTCGTCTACTAAACGGAAGGGGACGAGGCTTCTTTGACTCCCGTCAGCCAGCGATCTTAGCCTCCTAACGTGTATTATAGCTTAACCAACAACCCATTTATTCTCTAGTAAATTTAATTATATAAATGTGTTGCTGATTCACTAAAATCACCAACAAAGCTAGTATATCCCACTTGAAAGTAGGTATGACAATCGGAAATTGCAACCCAACATTCCAACTCGTTAGCATTGACTACTTGACAAACACGACAAGCATCAACTTAAGAAAATTTATCTGAACAAAGACAGCAGTGGAGTCGAAATATTTATATGAACTTCTCTAAGCAAAGATATAAACAAATTTCAACACAAAGAACAAAAAAGGTTTACATCAAACACAAAGAATTCTAACAGATCAATAATAAACTAATAAAACGAAAAGATCATATACCAATCAATCAGCCATTGTTTATTTTTCATATTTAAATAATAATCATAGAAGAAATTATTAATTATTTGATTTTCATATTCAAATAAAAAATCTCGGGATCATAACAAACACCTGTAATTATCGTTTGAATCTGAAAAAATAGATAATGGCAAATAGAAATGGTACATTTCTTTTGTTTTATTGGTTCGTTATACTTTGTTACTGATTTGTTGATATATCAAGAGAAAAATGACATATTTCTTTCGTTTTATCCGTGTAAGGATTTATTCGTTTTAAAAGATATTTAAGAACTTGATCATTCAAAATATGAAAGTCTATTGAGTTTTTTAGGTTTTAATAAATTCAAGAATTTATCTGTTCAATTTCAATAAGTTCAAAGATGTATTTGTTTGATTTCAATAAGTTTAAAGAATTCATTTATTTAACATTTGGAACTTAAAATATGAAAGTAAAATAAGATTTAATTAAAAAAAATTTAAATAAAACAATACAAAATGACATAAAGTTTTAAAATGTATAGATTTTTTAGTTCATAGCAAGAAATTTGTTTTAGGGCCCGTTTACCAAATGCTTACTCGGATAAGCGTTTATCAAGTCATTTTCTCTTACCGGATGAATATGACAAGGACCAAGAATCTTACCTGATAAGAGCAAAAGCAAAGACCGGGAGTCTTACCCGGTAAGTGATGGCGACGACTATTACCACGGTTAGCGCTTACGCGAGTAAATTGTTACATACGATGTCATTTTGGTAGACTAAAATCTCATCTGATAAATAAGTGATAGAGTTGAATTTTACCGTTAAGCACTTACCGGGTAAATGTTTAGGTAAACGGCCCCTTACTGGGACAAAATAGAACTTATGTAGCGGAAATAATTAAGTGAATCGATGGGAGATGAGTGATGAAGAAGATTGTCAAGGTCCTTTTGGACAAAAAAGCTGATAAAGATTAATGGAAACGTGGAAGAAAAGATGATCTGTTGAGACCCAATAAGAAAAAATAATAACAAATGAGACATACGATCTGTAATTTCAAGAAATGGTTTGTTGAACACTTAAATGAGATATTTATACTGTGTGTTTTACATACAACTTATTAATACATTTGAAATCATAACCAACTGATAAACATATTCAAATGCAAAATATAGGTTGGGCCCCACTAATACAGTAAAGTAATCAATAAAACTGATGACTTACATAACACTCTCTTGCTTTCCCAGAAACACAGAAATTCAATAAGAAATCGAGAGAGAAGAAATATAGATGTATTGTGCGGGTACACTTCTAGTCGATCATAAAACATGAAACGAATCGTAACACGTAAGAACAACAAACTGGATCGTCAAATAACAATAACTGTGAAACAGTAGTACAATGCCCACTATAGAAGCAATAACAAATAGTAATAACCTAAAAAACAGTTATGCAAACGACATAAACAAATAGCAATAACCAATATACATAGAAGCAGTCAAACAAACAACAAAAATAAATTGAAATAAACAAAAGAGATAGAGACAGATAAAAATAGCTAATATCAGATAGAAATAGTAATTTCTTTTAGGTCTTTTCAATCAAGGGGTTGTATACCAAATGTTTGTCGGGTTGATTACCTTATCAAATAAGCATGACAAGAACCGAGAATCTTACTCGATAAGTGAGAAAAAAAAGACTCTTGATCATTCAGCCCTTAACGTGTATAAAACATTCAGGGTATGTAGCATTCTAAAGAGACAGATAGGTAGGACACAACATGGCAAGACAACATAAAATGTTGTTTAATGTTTGGTAAGACATACTAGCAGGACAAGACAGATAAAATACTCCTAATGAATTATTTATATCTTTTATATATTTTGATTAATTTATTAAACTGTAACAAAATATATCATTAGAAAGTCTTCATCAAAACGATTAAAATGACACAAAAATAAAAACTTTATGTAGTTTCTAATTTTTATTCTATACATTTTCTATGTTATTTTTTATTATTAATATTCAATAAATTACATAAATTAATCAAAATAAGAAATCGTATAAAATAATTTTTTAAAAACAACAAAGTAAAAATTTAAAAAGTATATAATACAATAAATGAATTTAAACAATGAATAAATATAAAAAGGTAAGCCGATTTGATGTTTTGTAAAAAAAATTTAAGTTCTATTTTAAAATTATAATCTATACTATATTATAAAATATTTGATAAAAACTCTTAAAAATCATTTTTTTATATATGAAGTACTGTATATTGATACATATTATTTAAAGTTCAAGATTACAAGTAAATTAAGTACAACTTATTAAAGCTTCTTTTTTGAATTTGTGTAACTAACTGTAGATAAACATAATCAAATAGACGATAAACATCTCATTTTAAATATAAAAAATCTAAAATATAATTAGGATAAACATTGAGTTATAACAAAATACTTGATTGTTATCTTTATAAAAAAATTTATTATTAAACCCAAAAAAATGAATAAAGAAATACACAAAAAAAAATTAAATAGTTAGTTTGGTATTAATATCAATATTTTTTTCCAATTTTTATGATATCTTCATATTTATATTTTATTTAAAAATAAAAATATTATTGTTTTCTCAAAACTACATAAAACTGTATTATAACATCAATTGAAATAAAAAAAATAAAATAAAATACTAAATCAAGATGTATCTCGTTACATTTTACAAATACAATTATGATAATAAAATAAAGGTTTAAAAATCCAATCAAACGCGAATTACAAACAATGAAAAGGGTAATAATAATATTTAAAGACTGATGATACACACGTAGAATAATATTTTTCTCACAAAATTCTCTACGCAATTCATGGTCGTCGATATCTACGTCGCTGGCGATCTTCCCACGGTAATCTGATCGGTTCATTCGCTTCATCTCACCCTCGATCGTTTGACTTGGCATACAGTTTTCGGATTGATACCGGATTGCCACGCCAAAACGCGCATTGGTTTGTGTTCATTTGTGATTATCGGATTCCTATGAGGATGAAAACTGTATTTTTTGAATTGCTTTTCGCTTGATCATTTATAAATTGTAAACTTACTGCTATCTGTCGTATAATTGTTCTGTAAAACTTATTTTTAATTTGGTCGTTTGATTTGATCGTCTTTATGTATTTCTTGGATTTATTTTGAGTCTCATAAATATTATGTTGTAGGATTGAAAATCAGTTGTCAAATAGGCGATGGATACAAGTAATTGGAGGCCTAATCAAGGTGGAACTGGTGGTGGTGATTCCTCCATGGAATCTGTCGACTGGAGGACTCAGTTACCAGCAGATACGCGCCATAAAATTGTCAACAAGATGTATATTTTTATAGACACCAAGTGCTATGTTTACCTGTTTTTATATGTATGCTTAAGAATTTGGTTTGATGACTTTCACTTGCAAATTGCAATTTAGATGACGTTCTGTTGGGGTTTTTGTTGGTTAAATGTGCCTCCTTATGTGGAGGTATAGTCTTTTAGTTGGCTAAAGGTAATGGGGAAGGATGAATAGGTACGTTTGTGAATTTTTGATGAGCCTATCAGTTTGTATTGTAGTTATGTTGTTAATTGTGTATACCTGATCATTAGCACATAGCTTATTCATGGATTTTGTTGGGATCAAATAAATTTTTATGTGAATAATATTACTTGATTCTGTTGCATTCACGATAGTGTGCCAAAATGATGGAGTCCGGAGGGCCTAAAGGTTGTGCTCGTTGGCTTAATCCAATATCTGTATATGTGGAGATAAAATTATATATTGCTTGATGACCGACTTAGGGCAATTTGTTTTTGGAAACTAGTATATTGGATTCTACATATCAAAATACCTTAGGCGTCATGAAAAAAGTCTTGGAGCAAGTTTGCTCAGAGATCTATGATTATATAGAGGCAAGCATGTTTAGGGGGTGAAACCATGTTCTGTAATGGCAATTATATATCTTGATTTACAAGTTTCTTATAACGAGAAGTGTCATACACTTAAGTATTGATTATGGCCACCTCGTGCTTGGTGGAATATTGATTGACATACCTTCTGATGGGGAGAGACTATGTACGTTTGCTTTTGTTGGAGAACTTGGAAGGAGTATTGCTATGATATTAGGTTGAAGCTTCCTTACATAAATACGTACACAAGCTGCATTGTAAACAGCATTGGTAGTTGTATGGCTTTATTTATTTTGTGTGGCAATTCTATGCTCTTTCATATTCAAACCTCTTGATTAGAATTTTTTATGTTAAATGTGTAATATACAAGACACATTTCATTTATGTTTAAAGCCTCTCTTGTTAGACATGCATGGAATATGGAGGAGTCTAAGTATCAAATAAGTTGACTTTCGTGAACCCTAGAGGATAAGGAATTCAACTTGAGTGCTTTGACATAGTATCTATTTCATTTTACCCTTTGCCGCCTTTAGGGTTTTTTAGTCGGCCTAAACTGTGGCTTTGGTGTAGGAATAAGAAATTTGGAATGCTCATCTTTTTAAGAAAGAGTATTCTAGGAAATCAAAAAGGAGGAATGTTAAGAGTTAGGGTGTCTTATATTCATTTTTCGAGATTGGCCTATCTAATGTAATATATGTGTATGAGTATATATGTGTCCAGGATTTTCCCTTGTTAATAGTAGACATCAAATTAGCTCTTAACATTTACACGGCGTGAGTACCTTACACCAGGAATAGCTAAACCAAGTGAGAAATTGCTTTCGGCTGAGGAGACACTGAACCAGACGACACATGGTGTTATGCTTTTGCCATTTTGTTTTGGCCCCATCTAACTTAACATTGCGATTGTAGCTTTCATATCCATCATTGTTACCTTCTGGACCTTCAAATGAGGGTCTTTGACTACTCTTGTTGAAATGGCTCATTGCTGACCCTCCTGGCAATTAGGATCAGGTTTCGGTTTTTTTCCATTATTTATTGATTTGTTGTATCATAGTTGTATTGGTTCAATAAAAGGATTTATGGGCTTTTATAATAAAACTAAAAGATTGATGACTTTAGAGTTTCTGAAGTTCAAATGACTTATTTTGGATCTGACCATTTACACAACGCCAAGAACTGAAGTCAAATGCTGAAGTCAAATGCCCTTAATGAACTTGTACAATTAAACATATAATGGTTTTAGGATTTTATTCTAGCCTCAACATTAGACTGTATAGCTTGCCATGATCTTATGAGTGTTTTATGGTAATACAAAATTGCCTCCTGAATCCTTATCACTGACATAATTGGTTTCCACCATAACTCTTATTTGGAAACATCGTATTGTCAACTATCTTGTTCTTTCTTTCAACTAATCATAGTCAACCACACTAAGAAATAAAAGCATAGGTAGCTCCTTGACAAAATCAAACTACATTGCATTTCCCTTCTCTTCCTAAACTATCTTGTCAACCTTTTTTCCACCATCGATAAGAGAGAGGGATCTTGAACTAAGAAATAGCATAGTTGACATTGAATTAAAGGATCTACTGAATACGTTGATGGGGGACAGGCATACTATGTGTAATGCTTCACTCATTTACGATAAATAATAAATAAAAAGGCCATTCCATTTCGACACGAAATTCGAAACTCCCCGCTATCCAGAGGATGATGATTTGTTATTCTATTTGATACCATGCCTTGCACCTACTCGTGTTGTTTGATTGTTTCTAAGTGATATGCTAAGCAATATGGGACTTACTACTCCAACACTTTCTTTCCAATAACTCGTATTTGTTCAACTAATCATCTTGTTGGCAGCTCAATATAAAAAAATGTTTTTTCTCTATTGTTCTCTTCTCTTCATGGGGATGTATTATGGGGCAACCGCCTGGATTTGTTGCTCATGGAGAGTATGGGAAAGTATGCCACATTCGAAAATCCCTAGATGGCTTGAGACATAGTCCTCGAGCATGGTTTGGCAAGATCAATCGGGTGATCCTACTTCTAGTATATGTTGATATTTTGATTACTGGAAGCGACGATTGAGGTATATGAAAACCTAAGACATGTCTTTGGTGTCACTTTGAAACCAAGGATTTGGGATCACTTAAATATTTCCTAAGATTGGAGATCATGATTCATGAGAAAGAAAAAGGGATATTCTTATCTCAAAGAAAATATGTTCTTGATCTTCTAAAGGAAACATGAAAACTGGGGGCTAAACCATGTAGCACCCTAGTAACTTCCAACGTACACCCAAGAAAGGATGATGGAGAGCCGACATGTTAGAAAGTTGAATTACTCAGTGGTAACACAACCCAACGTTGCATTTGCAGTTAGTGTTGTTAGTCAATTATGTCTTCTCCAATAATCAACCTTTAGGTCCTAGAACAATATTTTTGTTACCTTAAAGGGTTACATGGACAAGGATTGTTTTATAGGCTCCATGATTATGCTAAGGTAGAGTGTTTTGCTTGTCTAATTGAAGATTTCTCGAATGCAGATTATGATGGAAGCAAGGATAGCAGAAACTCTACTTTAGGATATTGTGTGTTTGCTGGGGGAAATTTGGTTTCATGGAAACGTAAGAAACAAAATTTGGTGTATTGCTCCACAACTAAAATTTCATGGATATTGTATATAGCAATGGCTGACTCAGTATGTGAGAAAGTACGGATACATCAGCTACTAGAAGAAATCAGCTATGTGCTTGCACTTCTGGCAACACTTTGGTGTGATAATAAGACAACTCTTCATATCGCTTGAAATCCTGTATTTGATGAACAAACTAAACATATCAAAATTGAGTTTTACTTCATTCGCGACAAGACTGAAGAAGGATTAACTATTGCAGGATATGTATGAGCAAAAAATCAATTAGGAGACATTTTTACAAAACCAGTAAATGAGACCCATATGATGACATTTGTAACAAGCTTAACATGATCGATATTTATGCTCTAGCTTGAGGGGGAGTGTTTATGGATACAAATAATTCACAAACCTAGAAAGGTTTTAGGGACTGATTTCCTCATCCCTGTTGTATATATAAATGTATGTATACCTAATAAACACATTGAAATCAATAAAATTTGTGCAGATTACAGATTTGTTTGGTGTAGTCGTCTTGTGAAGCCTCAGGAGTGAGTGGCTTGATGAGTTGACTTGCTTTGTTTGCTTGGTTTTGCTACCTGTCCTCTCCATGAATAGTTAGCTAACTTAAGAATTGGTTCATTGGATGGACTTCTTTGCATTCACTTGGTTTGTCTACTTGAAGCTATATTTTAGCAATCCAACTCATTTAGGAACAATGGTTGCTTCTTCTTGGAATACCTGGTTCATTTCATGTGACCAACCCCGTGGATATTGGGTTTGCTTGTGCTGTTTTTGGTATCATTTACTTCCGGTTTGTGTTCTCTATTTGTTTATTTAGTTGCCGCTAATGCAAAGGGAAATGCTTTGTTTCACACTCTGATCTTTCCGTTCTCCTAACATGGGAAGCAAATAACCTTGCACTGATTTGAAGTTCAGAGCTTTGTTTTGTTATTTGATTTCCATTTTCTTCTTAGTTTTTTCAATATCTTGTACCTCTTAGATTTCTATATTTGCTTGCTTGTCAAAGTCGTAGCAGTTAACTTATTTCCCCCAACTTTAGGAGTATTAGGAGATAGAATTACATCTTACGTTTTAAGTGTTGAGGCCATGGACCTATGAAATGTGGTCTTCTATGTATTCACTTTTTTCCTCATTGAGGCTACACATCAAATAACCAAACTTACAGCATCTTTTTCTTACCAAAATGATTTGGTTCCTTCTGAGTTCTGTTTTCTTTTGCTTGTATACATGGTATGATGCAAATGATAAGAAATATTTCGTGTAAGCTGCAATTTGTTATGGGCATTACTATGTTCCATAGCTCTTTATTTATAAATATCTTAAACACTATCACTTCTATGTGACCAACACATGTTTTTATGTAGATTGGATAACTTGAAGAAGCATCTTGCATTTTCTGGACAGGAGAAGCTACATGAAATTAAGAATATTGCTCTGAGGTTTGAGGAGAAGATTTATCATGGAGCAACAAGCCATGTTTGTATATTTGTGCCCTTTTTTGTTGTTTGTGTTGTGTGCATATGTGGTTTTTACCTTTTTACTATGCTAGTTCTTAAAAGTATTTCTTTGGTGGAATAAACATTTCATAGAGAACTCTCTTAAATGAAAGTATTCAAGAGACAGCGGTATATAACATGTATATGTCTCGTGAATTACTTTGGGACATAATTTTTTTGTTCTTATGGTTTGCAGTCTGATTATATGCGGAAAATATCTATCAAGCTGCTTGCCATGGAGAATAGAGCAGCAAATCCTATTGCCAATTCTTTGCAGTCCAACTCTGCCGGTAATAGTGCAAACCCCTCTGATCCAGGTACTTTAGACTACTATTATAAAATCCTATAATATCAATTTAATGGTTATGCTTTTTATAGGTATAAGCTCAAACTTTCAAAGTATTTACAATGCTCTCTTTGACTTTCTGGTGAGTTCTTTGTCAGTGTTACAGATAAAATAACTCTTAAATCATTCCCTGTTGTCAATGTATGTGGTGCTTATTCTTTTACGTTAGGATTTCGATAAAATTTCACCCTTTGTGGAAAGAGGTTCTTGTAGGCAGAGATATGTTGGGGAAGGGGAAATCGTGGACGTCTAAATCTTTGGGTATTATTTAGCAAAAAAATATCTAGATGCACATTCTCAAAACATGACCGCAGCAGCACATCTTATCATGCTGATTTCATAGTTTGATCTTCAAAAAACAGAAAAGGAAAATATTCCACTAATCTCAGGGTCGTTAGAAGGAGCTAATCAGGTGGGTTTAGAAACTATTTTGACTCAAAAGACTTAAAGGACTAGGAATCAATAACTGCTTCCTAGAGTTTTGGGGATTAACATTCCTAGTTCTTTGTTTGTTCATAGTTTTCACATCTAGGATTCTGTCTGAACAGAGATAAGAGGGGAAATGAATTTTTGCTGTCTCTTTATCAATAGATGTTGGACCAACAGCCTAAAGATCTAGAAAACATAAAGGCAGTAAATACAAGGGAAGGGCAAGGAGTTGGGCTGAGACAGATAGGAGGCCTGTCAGCTATCCACACATACTAGGGCCATACAGATTTTTGTTGTCTTTGTCCACAGATTTTGGACCCTACAGTCTAGAGATGGAGAAAACATTAAGACAGTGCATAGAGGAAAACAAGTGTTTAGTTTTTTTTTTTTTTTTTTTGTTATGTTCGTTTAAGGCTCGGAGATCTTTTACTTCAAGAATTTTATTAAAATATAAGTCATGTGTTTATAAATCAGTCCGTTTGTTCACGGAAATCTCACAAATCGTCATTTTAAGGATGTCCCAGGCATTGCTTTTTTATTCTCTGAAAGTTATGCAAGGCAAAATTACCTAGTTGCCCTCACGTCATCATGAATGTATTTGTGACATTGATTTTGTTCTGTAAGATTACTTCAATTTTGAAACTAGTGTTTTGGAGTGAGTATGACATACTTTACTGTCATTAATAATTAATTCCTCTCAAACACAATCTACAATGCATACAGAAAATCATATAGGCTTTAAAGCATAAAAGGGCCTCTCCCTTTTTTTTCTGGCGTTGAAAGCGCCATTGAAATCAATGTTTTTGCTTAGGGAAAAGTTCAGAAAAACCCAACAAACTTTCTCATTTTGAATGATTAAGTCCCTAAATTTTATTTTGAATGAATAAACCATTAAACTTTCCCATTTTGAATGGTTAAGTCCTTGAACATTTTTTTTGTGAATAAATCATTAAACTTCCCCATTTTGAATGGTCAAGTCCTTGGAACATTTTTTTTGTGAATAAATAAACCATCGAACTTTTAAAAATAGATTAACTATATCCTTTTAACCCAAAAAAACTATCTCCATCAAACCTTTAAAAATAGATGAACTATATCCTTTTAACCCAAAAAAACTATTTGTAACTGACTAACCGGATAGGAAGGTTTTGAAGTTTAAAAAAAATACCTAAATCAGTTTTTACCATTCCCATGCCCTACGCCATTTAAACCCCTCACACCCAACAGCATCGTTACCCTCGACACCCCTCACCACCCATCGCTGCCTGTTCTCCATACCGCCCATCGCTGCCAATGGCCCCTACTATCAATCTCCCTCTTTTTGATATCAGTGGAGCACGTATAAACAGGTCAAAAACGAGGGAGAATCGAAGAACAGAAAAATCGATCAAAAAGGGAGAGACCGATGGCAGGGGCCAATGGTGGTGATGGATAGTGATAGAGAGCGGAAGCGATGGGGCGTCGAGGGGTCTGAATGACGTAGGCTTTGGGGACAGCTAAATGATTTAGGTTTTTTTACTTTAAAACCTTCATTGCTGGATATAGGTAGCTTTTTTGGGTTAAAATGATACATGTAACCAATTTCTAAAAGTTTATTGGTTTATTTATTCAAAAAAAATGTTCAGAGACTTGAATCATTCAAATGAGAAAGTTCGTTTTTTTTTATTCAAAAAAAAGCTTGATTACTCAAAATAGGAAAGTTCGTTGGGTCTTTCTGAACTTTTCCCTTTTGCTTAAGCTCATTTATGAGCTTTCTTTGGGTCATATAAGATTTGATGGTGAAGGATTTCTTTATTAGCTCAATGAAGGCGCAGATGAAAGAACCAATTAGGCTATGCTGTTAATTGCGGCGATATCTCGGATTGCAAGCCTTTGCAAAATATCGGTGGTCAAATTGCGGTTAAAATTGCATAGCGCAATTAGCGGTGCAATTTACTGCAATTTTGACCGATATTTAGTGTAAATTTCGTTCAATATTAACGCAATTTTTGGTGGGTTTGGGCTTTATTTTCAGTTTTGGGCTTTCAATATTAACTAGCTTTTGTTAAGTTAGTCAAGGCTTTTTTTGGGCTTTTAAGAACTAGGCTTCTGTTAAGGAAGCACTATAGGGATGATGATGATCACGTTGGAGATGAAGAGGGAGAAGAGGAAGAGTGGGAAGCTAGCCTAAACGAAGAAGTGAACGTGTTAGATGATGTTACCTATTGCTTGTGATTAGCTCGTTTATGAACACTTTTCCTATTTTGCAAATGATATGTTTATGTAGGCATATTATATATATAATTATATATAATTCTAAGAAATTTTGGACCGCGATTGCACCGCTATAACCGCTAATTGAAATATCGGTCCCGACCGCAATTTTGTATTTTCACCGCTATAACAGCATAGCATTTAGGATTTCGAATGACAATGTTGAATGTGCTCAGAATCCCTTAGAGAACATCCTTCCTATGCCAATTGCTCTCAAACATATAGTTTCAAGCTTGGCCCCAACAAGTTAACCAACTTGATTATTTACAACCTAAAGAGGATGAAATATAAGCTTACTATAATGTAAAACAGCCTTAAGCTCATTACTTTTCTGGTGTTACGAACTAAAAGACTGCCAAAGAAATGAGGCTTCCAGAGGTCACTAGCATCAGGAAATTCTATGAAATTTTCGTGATTAGCCCTTTGAGTAACATGGACATCATAGTTTCTCACAGTTGATTCTGTGGTTCAGGAGTCTTACGTTATTTGCTTTCTCGGTCTTGTTAACAATGATAGTATTGCATATACTTATGTTCTAGTTTCGTTCCTAGCTTGTAGTTGCATCTAACTTAGGGACTGTTTCCTTTGTTTCCATTAGTCCTGTAAAGGTCAAGTTGTCTGTATGGGGGACGGGAGACCGACAGGTTTGAGCCTTGAGGGAGGAAAAGAGAGAGAATTGGATTATTTATGGGGCATTTATGGTGTTAATTTGTTTGAGGTGGCTTAACGGGGACCAGTGAAGGGTCCTGGCTTATTCCATATAGCCATTTTGGCATAATGGCTTAACAATTAAGCAGTAAAAAACACTCCTGTATGGCTGTGCGAACAGGCCGCCCAAACCATTAAGCTATAAATAAACAACCCCTTACAGATGTGCATACTCATCATGTTCGATAGTAATAATATAGATTTCTGACTGTTCGTAGTTCCCCTGGAAGCAAGCTTTCAGGAATATTTTCAGTCAGCTTCAAAATTTGTTTTTCCTAACATTGTATTTTTTCCCTCCATCATAACACCTTATGTCCGTATCTTTTTGGTTCATTCCACCATGTGCAGGCTCTCAGGGCATGCAGCAAGTCAACAACCAAGGCCAATCACTTAATCATCCTCAAGCAGGTCAGCAGATCTTACCTCCGAGCATTCACAATAATATTGCTTCATCTGGAGGACAAGGTTCTGCTGGTATATCATCTGCATTACAACCTGGCAGTAGCTTATCACAGTCTACCATGCCAATTATTTCCGGCCAAAATTCAGGCTTGCAGAACATTCAAAATATTTCTAGGGTTCAACCAAATTCTGTAGGAAATAGTATGGGGCAAGGGATACCTTCCAACAATTTTGTAAGTCAAAGGCAGATACCAGGAAGGCAACAACTTGCTCCCCAACCGCAACAGCAGCCTCAAAACTCGCAGCATTATCTTTATCAGCAGCAGTTACATCAAATTGCAAAGCAAAAGCTCCAGCAGAATAGTAGTACAACCTCAGTGCAATCACACATGCAACAACAGCATCAGAACTTGTTGCAGCCAAGTCATTTCCAACCATCTCAACAATCCGTTATGCAACCTACAATGTTGCAACCATCTTCTCTCTCTACCGTTCAACAAAATCAGCAACCTATTGATCCTCAATCAGCACAACCTGTGATGCAACACCATCAACAAACAGTCCTAAGACAACAAAGGCAGCAGCAACAAGCATCCATTGTCCACCAGCAGCAAGTATTGTCAACACAGCAGCAGCAGCAGCAACCAAATACGATGGGCCAGCAGACAAGTGCAATAAACTTGCAGCACAACCAGCTCATAGGACAGCAAAGTAGCTATTCTGAAATGCAGCAGCAACAGCAGTCTAGGTTGCTGGGCCAGCAGAGTAATATTTCTAATGTGCAGAAGTTGCAGCATCACTCAATTGGTCAACATAACAACTTCTCTGCTGTGCATCAGCAACAGTTGGGCCCTCAAAGTAGTTCCACAGGTCAGCAACAACAGCAGCACCAGTTATTTGGAACTCAATCTGGTAGCACCACCATGGTGAACAATCAACATTCAGCACACCTGCTGCAGTCTAAGGTCTCGATTCCACAACAGAATCAGCCAACACAAGGCCAACGGTCACAACCAGAATTACAGCAGCAGGTGATGCCACAATTACAAACACAGTCAGGTCAGTTGCAGCACCAATTAAATACGAAACTGCAGCCAAACTTGTCACAATGGGATATGCAACAGAGGCTTCCAACATCAGGTGCATTTCAGCAGCAAAATGTAATAGATCAGCAGAAACAGCTATTCCAACAACAGAGAGCTATGCCAGAGGCTTCATCAAGTAAGTTATATGCACACATGTGTGTATGTGTATCAGTGTATGCAGTGCTCTAAAGTCCCTGCTTAGTAACAGATCTATCTTGTTGCATTGCTTTCCAGTAGCGAATTAGCAATTGATGAATGAAACTTGTTAATGAATTAGTTCTGACATATGAGTACATGTACTGTTTACAAATTATGTTTTTCCTTGTTTATCCTTTCATGCCTGTCCTTGTTTCATGAAGCACTTTCATCTGTAATATGGTTATCCTACCATATCATGATGCTATCTGAAGTAGAAAATTAATTGATGGGTTAGCCAGATCTTGGACCCTAGTATATATTCTCTCCATCCCATGGGAATTGCAATACTTGACTAGACACGTTTAAGGAAGTATTTGATCAATTGCCGGTGATTACTTTGAATTTGATTAGCGCAAATTTAGGAGTTGTGACAACTAAATTTGTACAGTTGTACTGTAATGCTGCTTCCAGTATATTCCTTTTCTGGAAGGCTTCAGATATGCTCCTTTGCTGGGAGAATTTTTAAAATACTAACATCTACAAGTTTTTATTCTTCTGTAGCATCATCAGATTCCACAGCTCAGACAGGAAATCCAAATGGTGGAGATTGGCAAGAGGAGGTGTATCAAAAGGTACTGTACATGAAATTCTATGCTTATTTTTTGAAGTGGGAAACAGAATGCTCTAGCTTAACTAAAGCATCAAGTTTTTTTTAACGAACTGAATGATATAAGCTTGCTTTTTTTTCTTGTGTTCAAAACACAGAAGCAAGCAAGCATATTAATTATTGACAAGTAAGGTACCCATCATGTAACATTCATTTTTTCTCTTACATTTATTTGGATTTTGGGGACTTATATTAAATGTGACCGGGGCTTTCAACCACTCAGCCGTCTCCCTGATGCGTTTGAGCTTTTTGTTTGAATGATTTTCTCATTGACACCTTTGCCTTCTTATTTCTTCTTGTACTATTATTATGTGGCCAATTTGTTTTTCTTTTAGTATTTATCTCTAATAATAGCACTTACCCACTTCTTGTGTCCTCCATATTAGCACACGTCTGTATCATTGAAAAGTTGAAGGGCTTTTGTTGCCTGTTAGTATGTTGTTTGTTTGATATGGTAGCAGATCAACACATTTACTGTATCAAGTTCTGGCATCTGCAAGTGATTAGGTCACTCATTTCCTTTGTTTGTGTTATTCTTAGTTCTTAACAATCTAGGACTATTTTTTTTACTAGAGTGTAGAGATTTGTTAGTATGTCGGTTCTTCCAATTTTGACTAGCTTTCCTCTTGGTACTGATACATCCTTTCAGACTCTAGAAATCAACATGGTATCACACTAGGACATTGAAAACTGAAACCTATCCCTTTTTTACTGTTCCAGCGTCAGTAGCTAAGCTAGTGCCATTCACTGCTTTCTCTGGCTAACCGTACACATCGTTTTTGCTGCCATCTTCAACCAGAGTGTGAAGATCTCCCCAACCCTCTTTCTCTGTCATAGAGTGGCCAATATTTGCCCGTTTTCAGTCCATCATGGAACGCCCTCGCGCGTTCGTGAGAACTACTAGAAAATGGTGAGATCATTAGTGAAAGAAGGACCAACGATGACCCTATCCTAAAGAAGAAGAAGGAGTAGGAGCAGAGCGGAGAATCTTTCTATATTAGGCAAGCGCACTCACTCTAACAGTGTACCTTTTGCATGATGGGTCAGCGAGGAAATGGGAACAGGGGTGCTTGAAAAGGCTTTCCTGCCTGGCAAAGTACAGGGCTATCAGTCGGCCATTTTTGAATGAGTATGGGTGAACCACTTTCACCTACGACTTTCTCGAAAATTCCATCAAATCAAAGGAKTTGACATTTCTGACATCTCTTGACACCCTTACTTTTAATAGAGGGCCTTGCCTCATGATTGGTTTGGTTGGCTAGTTCTGATTTCAACCCTTGCTTAGGACTATCTGCTGGCGTTGTGTTCCAATTCATGAGCATCTCTTTCAACCATCGGTCCATCACCTGTTCTGATCTGTGTGGCACTTTTACCTGTTTTACCTGTTTCTGTATAAGACCTGACCAGCAAATATGTGAAAGGAGTCTGCCTGTGATGTCTTGCTAGATTCTAACCAGATTGCATCATTTGATTTTTCCTTGCAATGACCCTTCAGAAGATGTCTGGATCAAAGATTAGGCATGTAAATGGTAACTGAAAAGATCCAATTATCGACCGATTTCAAAATTGATGGCAAGTAAAATATTCATGTCTGATAAATATTGAATTCTTATACATCCAACATTAGTTGAGTACCAATTCAAAAATAGTTATAGGTGATATACTTAATATTGTATGTATACACTAAATTGCCACTAATTATTAAGAGAGTATAGGTGATACCATTTGATATGCCATATGTATCTATATAAATGTATCATAGTTTTTTTAGCATGACCTTCACTTCTCATTGATTACAATTTGACTTAAATCTAAAGGTTATTTTAGGTTTTGGGAATTATCAAACTTTAAAGTTCAATCATTTATATTTTTGTTATCTTAATTCTTGTTGTTTTCAACTTTACTAGTTTTTAAGGTTTGTAAATGATTGCATTTATTTTTCTAGAACCAGATCCTGTTCATATTAAAATAGTAAAACTATTCATATATCGATATTGGGCTTAATCAGACTCTGATGCTATTTGAATAAGGATGTATGACAATTCAGAGTTTTAGCATCCGTTAAATTTGAATCCCTTTTTGCTAATCAATTTTGAATTGGATATGTTCACATTCTATTCACTTTTAGTCTGTTTACAGGTTTGATCATAATTATATTTTGATCTAGCTTGTGAGAGTTTCACATGTTCTATGGGTTAGATCAATGAGCTATTCCTTTACCCATAAACTACCTGTAGGCGTTCTTAACCTGAACGTTTTCTGTATCTCTTCTGTTTTCACTTTGTTTAACAAGAAATTAAGGGAGTTCAAAACCTGCCAATCTATATATTCGAAAGTTGAATTTCAAATGTTCAGGAAGCTTGCAGTAGAAAACTGTGTTTGGCTGATATGATTTCTCTGCTTATTTTTTACATCACTTCAGTCCCAATCTGATATCTTATTGATTTAATTTGTTCTGGGTGCAATTATGCCTAATACTAGTAATGTGTAGTTTCACTACTGCAAGTAGTAGGGTTTGATACTTTACCCAGATCTGAGTGGCATAGTTTAGTGAAGCCACCATGGTGTTTATTGTCAGTTTAGACATCTATCTCTATCGAATTTGAAGAAGCTTGTACTGAATTTCAGTCTATTTTGAGTTTCATTGTGAGTCATGTCAAGAAAACATGTTTGAGTGTTAATTGAGTAAGAAAACATTTTAGTTTGCGGCATAATTGATGTGGGGACCTATTGTGTTGAACATGTTCTTTTGTTCTATATATTATCTCACTTTTGGATGATCACCGACAGTTGTGTGCATTTATTTAATAATAATCTAGGAGTTAATTTTCTCATATATTTTGCTATTTTGTGCTTGAGTACAAGTGAATATAATTTATCTCTCAAAACACACTCTAGTGATATGGAAAAAAAACATTATGGGTGGGAACTACTACAGAGCCTTTATCCAACTAGCCTATGGTAAACCTCCGTTGCGTTTCACCTGTAGGAGAAAGGGAAAGTAAAGAATATAGGTGGTTGTTTTACTTTTCTGAATTAGAATAATTGTTTGGGAAAGGGTACTTTTGGTATTTTCCCTAGAATAATGAGCCGCCTGTGTTAAAATGTGTAAGAGCTTTGTTTTTGGGGGAATTTTGTTGAAAACTTGTAACTCGAACGAGAGCTCTGGGAGAGTCCCTGGCCTCTCAAATGCTAGTGGAATTTCAATTCCTTTTCAATACAATTCATAGCCGACTGTTTTGAATCAGTTTATAGCAGCCTGTTTATATTTTTCGAAGACTTGTGAATACAATTATTGATCTGTTTTGATTTGTAGGTTTTGAACATGAATGTGATTCTTATATTTGCAGTTGAAAGCTATGAAGGATAAGTATATGCCAGAGTTGAATGACATGTATCAGAAAATCATAGGCAAATTGCAGCAGGTAAGTTGCTTTCTCGTAATCATTTTCAAACTGTAAACGTCAGCCATAACTTATTGTATTTGTCTCTTACTAACATTGCCTAGTTTGGTGAGGCGTCTCACCCAAGAACCTAGTTGACATCCAATCGGTGCCTTTTGTATTGCCCAACAAGCAGTCTCATGGAAGTCACCAAAAATCCATAGATTTCGATAGGAAATTACAGCGAACATTTCAGTTTACTTTTTTTCAACTTGTAGTATTTCCTGGATTTCTCTTGATGCATAGAAAAAATCTAGAAATTTGGTATCAGGGCCTAGAATGTTTTTTATGGAAGGGTGTACTAGGCTACGCCCAGACTAATCCCGGCAAATTGTGACTGCAAGACATCAGCCCTGAAAAGGTCAGGGCCTGGAATGTTCCTAGTTCTACAAAGTTACTCTTTCTTCTTTGGGAGTCCCTCACATTCTTAATCATCCAAGAAATCACTAAGAAACCTTATCTAGCAGTACAAACTTCTTTCTTTTGTCTTCTCCATCTAATCCTTAGTGATCGACTCTACAAAACAAGCCATGTGCTAAGGCCATATGCTAAGGCCACATTGTTGGTTTAGGTAGAAATGCAAACCCTGTGACAGCAGGCTGGGGTTTTATAGACCTATGGTCATGCCATTAGATTGTTGGCATAAAATTCAGAGAATAAAATTAGGAAACGCCATTTTGGATCTGGTAGTTTACTTAGTGTGCATTTGGCACCTGGGACAGGACAGAACAAAAACTTCTTGTCCCACATGTGCTGCGACGATTAGACTTGGGGGCTGTTTGGTTGGTTTTCCTTTAAGTCCTGTATGGATAAAGTTATATGTGTGGATTAATCTGTCTGTATAGATTGGGAAAGTTTTTGTTTGGAACAGTTTTATCTTAGATGGAATGAGCATGTTTTTTAATTGGGAAGGGCAGCTCTGGAAAAAACTTGACTTTCTGCATAAAGCTCCCTCCCTAGAAGCTTACTGAATAAGCCACTTTCTATATCACTAAGCCACTACCAAACAATCATGTACAATAGACCGAATAAGCTATGAGTCCCATTATGCTCATTAAGCTGCTGACGAACAGGCCCTTAGACCGGACATGACCGGGTGAGACAAAAATGCATTTTTTTTCTGTACCACCAAAATAGGTGGAACAAAAATTAGGGAGATAGGACAAGTTTGGTAAATTACTAAACTACTCATGTCAAATTAAAACCCTAAAATCTTCCACAATTCTTTCACCCGCCTACCTCACTCTCGCTTGTCCAAATAGTCTTCTGCTAGTTCCCTTAGAGAAAATCAGATAGTGATGGCAAAAACTATCCAAATTATACTAAAATGATGTGCTGCTGAAATTCGGTACTCTTTTCTTTTCTCAATTTTATGTGACTTCTGTTCTCCAGCATGATTCGCTTCCTCAGCAACCAAAGGGTGAGCAAGTTGAGAAGCTGAAAATGATTAAGCATGTATTGGAGCGTTGCATGGCATTCGTACAAGTTCCCAAAAGCAACATAACTCCCAACTACAAAGAAAAGCTTGGTATATATGAGAAGCAGATTGTTAATATCATAAGCACACATAAGCGGAAACCTGGGGTCCCACCACAGCAAGCACAACCACTTCCTCCACCACATATTCATTTGACACAAGAAAATCAGATGAACCCCCAGATGCAGTCGATGAACTTACAGAATAATATGGGTAGTTTGCAGCATAATTCTGTCCTTCCTTCAAATGCACAGCAGAACATGATGAGTGCAACACAGCCTACTTCCAATCTTGACCCAGGACAGAATAGCACAATGAACTCGTTAAACATAAATCCTTTGTCATCTCAAGGAGGGATGGGTATGCTGCAGCCAAATTCCAGCATACTTCAACATCAGCAATTGAAGCAACTTCCATATCGCCAAATGCAGCAACAATATCTACATAAACAACAACTAATTCAGCAGCAGCATCAATTTCAGCGACAAACAAAACAGCAGCAACAAAATGGGCAGTTGCATATGAACCAACTACCTCAGCTGCAGCCGATAAATGACGGTAATGAGTTGAAACTAAGACAGCAGATTGGAGTGAAGCCAGAACCTTTGCAGCAACAGCAAGTAGCATCCCAGCGCCCAGCTTATCACCAACAGTTGAAGTCAGGAGCTCCATTTTCACCTCAACTGCTTTCGGCTTCTTCTCCACTGACTCCCCAGCATTCATCTCCTCAAATTGACCAGCAAAACTTGTTGAATTCTCTTACTAAATCTGGTACACCTTTGCAATCTGCAAATTCACCATTTATTGTGTCATCTCCATCAACTACCTCTACGTCTCATATGCCGGGAGAGTCTGAGAAAGTTAATTCTGGTGTGTCGTCACTTTCTAACGCTGGGAATATTGGACATCAACCAACTGGTGCAGTGTTACCTACCCAGTCTCTCGCTATTGGCACACCTGGAATATCAGCCTCGCCTTTGCTTGCAGAGTTCACAAGTCCAGATGGAAATCATGGAAATGGGGCATCAGTTGTTTCCACAAAATCAAGTGCTATAGAACAGCCCATAGAGCACTTACTCAAAGTGGTCAGTGATCACTAATCAGTTCTAAACTGCCTAGCATATAACATAAAAGTTAAATCTTTTGTGTGCACTAGGTTCTTCTGATAAGTTAAAAATGTGTGGCTAAAACCTTGAATTTTTTACTTTGTAGGTAAAGTCAATCTCACCAAAATCCTTGAGTGCCTCAGTTAGCGACATTGGTTCGGTTGTTAGTATGATTGATAGAATTGCAGGATCGGCACCAGGTAATGGATCAAGAGCAGCAGTTGGGGAGGACTTGGTTGCCATGACAAAATTGCATCTTCAAGCAAGAACTTCCGGCACCCCAAATGGAACAAGGAAAATGAAACGCTTTACAAGTGCAATCCCCTTAAATGGTGTATCATCTGCTAACAGTGTAAATGATAGCTTTAAGCATTTTAACTTTGTGGAGGCTTCAGAGTTGGAATCTACTGCAACTTCTACTATAAAAAGGCCCCGGATTGAGGTATTACCTTTTCAGCAGTATAATATATATATATATATATATATATAGTGGAGTCTTCATGTGAAAAACGTAAATAATTTGAGAACTGGGGAACTAATTTTATAATTTGTATTCATTAATAAATATGCACCATAAGTTTCATCAGAATATGATTACTGTCAATGAGTATATTCATCGTTGAATATATACAATACATTCATCAATGAATATATTCACTTATATTTGTATTTTGTCAATTAGTATATTCAACAATGAATATACACTAAAAATTAGTTCTTTTGTTCTCAAAATATTTGTGGTTCTCATTTGAACCGGGCTCTATGTATGTATGTATGTATGTGTGTGTGTGTATTTGTACATGTGTGTGCATGTTAGGATTTGTATTTAATTCCCATGTTATATATGGAAGCTATAAGTGATGATGAGATCATTTCGGGAGTTGTCATTTTAAATTGCCTGGTCTGAGTCATTTGTTTGATCAAAGCATTTGAATTTCTGGAAGAGCAAAAAGATCTGCATAGCATGAATAAATACTATGCTCTGCTCTCGGAGATTGCTTCAACGACTTGTATCTGCTTGCACTCGATAATGTTTTTAAAAAACGACTTATATCTGCTGTACTCCATGATGTTTATGTTAAAATGTTGCAGAGGAGGCATCCCCTATTGGAAGAAATAAGAGATATAAATCTGGGACTCATAGATACTGTGGTAGATATCAGCAAGGAAGATGCTGATTCGGCAGAAGGTGGTAAAGGAACCATTGTTAAGTGCTCATTTATTGCGGTAGCTCTTGCTCCAAATCTCAAGTCACAATATGATTCACCACGAATGGTGTGTTACTTTACTACGACATTATTTATATACACACACAAGGGCAGGTTCATTTAAGAACCCAAGAACCACCTATTTTGTGAGTATATTCATGATGAATATCTATCACCTTATTCATCATGAATCATTATCACATTATTTATCATGAATACTGCATAAAATAGGTGGTTCCTCGGTTCCTTTATAATTTTATGGTTCCGAAAAGAACCTCTCTCTCTCTATATATATATATATAAATATATATGAGTGAGAGAGAGAGAGAGAGAGGGAGCCCAGTTTAAATGAGAACCCCAAATAATTTGCGAACATGAGAACTAATTTTTTAGTATGTATTCGGTTGAGAATATACTCATTGGCATAATACAAATACAAGTGAGTATATTCATCAATGAATATATAGTATATATTCATTGATGAATATGCAAATTTACAAATACATATTTTTGATAAAATTTTTAGTGTATATTTGTAACAAATATACACTATAAAATACCTCCTAGGGATAAGAGACATAGGGCTAAAGAGAGAGCCAAAAAAGGATCTTTCGTGTATAATCCTGCATAATCTCGAATGACCTTGAAACAACAATGATTACTTACTATTGCTATAAAACAAGCTCGTATTTTATCTTTTAGTTCCTTGGTTCTCAAATTATTTGTGGTTCTCACATGATTCCTCCCTTATATATATGCTAGATCCATAATCGTTAGCATTTTCTCTGTGAACTTGAAATTTTTCTTGTATTGATGTGTGCAGTCACCTATACAACCATTGCGATTGCTTGTTCCTGCAAATTATCCAAATTGCTCCCCAATACTCTTGGATAAGTTTCCAGCTGACATCAGGTGAGATATATTTTCTTTTTCCTATTTTGTGTTCTCTCTTTTTGAACCATGGGATTAGATATAGATGGTTTCGTTGGAGGGTTCCGTGTCTTTTTAGCTAAGTAAGCTCTTTTGCAATCTTTTCTAAAATTGCCAAAACGTGGCGTATAGCTGTTCTTTCTGGCCGTTTACCTAAACACTTACCCGGTAAGCGCTTAACGATAAATTTCAACTCTATCTCTTACTTATTGGGTAAGATTTTAGTCTACCAAAACGACATCGTATGTAACAATTTACCCGGTAAGCTCTAACCGTGGTACGAGTTGTCGCCGTCACTTACCGGGTAAGACTTTCGGTTCATGCCTTCGCTCTTAACAGGTAAGATTCTTGGTCCTTGCCATATTCATCCGCTAAGGGAATATGACTTGATAAGTGCTTACTCGAGTAAGCATTTGGTAAACGGCCCCTAAATCTTTTACAAATTCTTTTTGCAAGCCGGGTTTTTTGACCAATGGGATATACTAGGTTCGTTTGATTTGGTAAGATTTTGTATTTTGAAGGGTATTTTAGATATTTAACAATAGTGTATCTATGGTTGGACAGCAAGGAATACGAGGACCTTTCTGTAAAAGCACAGTGGCGGTTCGGTAGTTGTGTTAGGCAGCTTTCGGAACCCATGTCGCTTGAGGAGATGGTACGGACTTGGGATGTTTGTGCTCGTACGGTTATTTCCGAGTACGCGCAGCAAAGTGATGGTGGTACCTTCTCTACAAAATATGGAGCCTGGGAGGATTGCCTCACCCTCACTGGTACTGCTGCATGAACTTACTTATACATTTTGTGTTAAATATAAGTAACACACATTATGCTTTTTTGTTATATACATATGCATATAGAAACATTCAATGTCAATATTATATGTTCCTAAGCATGAAGTATGGAGAAAACAAGGTTTCAGAGGTTTCCTGAGTTTTCTTAGGCTCTAGAAGCTTTCTTCCAAAATGAAGAAATTTACTACGAATCTCTTCAAAAGTCCGTTAAGTGGTACGTTATTGACTTATTTCGATGTGGTACCCGTAATAAGTATCTTTTTAGTGTTCGGATGGGGGAAAAAAAGAGAATGTTTCTACCGGTAATAAGGAGTTTTTGATAAGTTACTTTTTTCTGGCTTATCAGAAACAACTCATCAGATTTGAAAATCAAATTACTTTTTTTGACCCTAAACCTTCTCTCCTATGATAGAGCTCCATTCCATTCTCTGGCGACGCTGGCGCCCCATTTCTTTCTGCGGTCACAACGGTGCCCCATCCACGGATACAATCCTCTCCTCTTGTAAAGCTCCTCCCCTTCTCTCTCCCTCTCCCCTTTATCGCTTCTCCATGGTTTTATCACAGGGACGATCAAGATCTTGAATCACTGGAACGATCATGATTTGGAATCACAGGGACAATCGATTTGGATTTGGTCGGTTTGAATTTGGGGCTTTTTGCCCTAAGTGACCCTCTGTATAAGCAAAATCATAGGGATGATCAAGATCCATTTTTGTCGTTTGACATGTGTAAGTAAAATTTACCGAACACTAAAAAATAACTTATCAATTTATTACGTTTCGATACCGTCATAAGCTAATTCAAACACTTTTTATAAAACTCCGATTTGACACCATATAAGTTGTTTTAAATAAGCAATCCCAAACACTCTGAATATTTTAGTAACATAAGTAATGTTGAAATCTTCAAAAGGGAAAACTGTTAGAATTTGATGTAAATTTTGTTTAAAAGATTTTGACTTTGTGAATAACTCTTGGATATGCTCTATGTCTACTTCGGTAGAGGTTGGGTTTACGTATCTCTTGTCCTCTGAAACCCTACTCTCGAGTGGGATTTATTTGACCAATTTGTTTGGTTAATAGAGGCCATCTATTTTGTTAAAATAGGATGTTAGCTAGCATATAAAGGCTAACGTGGCAAGTAATGCACTCTTGACCCCGTACCGTGTAGTCTAATCCCCAACAGGTTTGGAGGCGGGGACGGGGGCAGGGAAATCCTCGACATAATCGGTTAGGTCAGTCCTGATGTCAGTTATAAGCAAATGCCCATGAAAATAGGAGGCTTGATTATCACTGGTGTAACCGATCAGATAATCGGGTTGACCATAATCGACTGGTTAATTATGAAGTTTTTTTTCCTTATTTATATATTTTTTTGTATTATATATAAATTATCAAACTATAAATTACAAAATATAAATATAAACGAAGTAAAAGATACTATATAACTAACATGTCATGGATAACTCGTTATAAAGGTCTGGTGAAGGCTCAAAAAAATTTCAAAATATGGCTAAGCGGTGTAATCGAATGGTTAAAAACCAGCCTGACCAGTAAGACTATGACTGGTTAATTGAGCCATGCCATCTTTACTTTTGATCGTGAATTGTTTTTACAATCAATATTTTTTTGGCATTTTGTGACATTTTGGCCGGATTTCATGCTAATGACAACGGTTTGAATGTTGTGTGGTCCCCTTTGACCTTTTTTTTAATAAACTGATGATTGATGTAAATTTTTTATTAAAAAAAACAAATTGGCCTATGTTTAAATTATATACACTATATTATAAAGTATCTGAACAAGTACTTAATACATATTATTAAGTATAAATTATTATTTATTAATACAATTATCTTAAAAATTCAAAACTGCAAGTTATTATAGCATGTGTACTACTTTTTTAAGTTTATTAAACTTTATAAAATTAACGAATAACTAACTGATATACATGTTAAAAATAGCGGTTGTTTGTTTACCTCTTAATAGTTCCAGTAAGAGGCAATATCTGAATCGTTAAGAGGTGAATTTTGTTTGGCAAAAAAAAATGTCTCTTAATGGTTCTAAAACTCTCTGATTGATTTTGTATCTTGGGCCTCCTTTAACCATTAAGAGCCTTAATTTCATTGTAAACAATTGCCAAACAATTATATTTCATTTTGCACAATATCATGAGAGTCTCTTAATCATTCTGACTACTTAATGATTCTGCACAAAACCATTCAGCAACTGTCAAACAACCCTTAATTCTATGATATCTATTTTTAAATTTAATTATAGTACAACTTTGAATTAAACAAATATACATATTCAACCAATTGTAATTTTATTTTATTTTTTAATGTAAATTTTAGATTTTATTTTCTAATGAAAGTTTTATTCATTTTTATTTTCAGTATATAATAAAATCTTACAATCTACTATATCATACATGTATATTGTCAGTCATAATAAAGGTTTTAATCATTTTAAAACTCTAAAATTTATGAGATCTGTAAGAACTTTAACCTTAAGATTTTGTTTCACAATATATTTTTTTTATCTAAGTATGATGTTTAATATATTGATTAAAATATATTTGTTTCATAATGTGAAACTTTTTTTACGTGCAATTTTTGTTTCACAAGTACATCAAAAACGTTCTCATTGTAAACCGAGTACATGTGAAACAATCACAATGTGAAACGAATGTATATTAATAGATATTCTAAATCCTAATCCTAGAAGAAAAATAAATTATATGAAATAACATATAATGTGCTAGTTCTCAAAAGAAGGTCTCTGTCACAATACAATGCTATTGGAGTTATATTGTTGGTGTATGATCAAAAACTTAATTATGGATTTGGTCCATGTGATTTGATGGTTTTTACAAAATTGGTCCCTAAACTTCATTTATCATAGAAGATGAATCGCCATTTGTTGTTATGTAATAGTTGGTCCCTTACCCTAATGGCCATCCAAAATATTTATTAAGTTTGATGATATTTCCGTCTTTTTATCATTTTTTCTGTCTTTTCCTAACAAAAATAGGGACCAAATTCGTAATTATGTCTATAACATCAAAAAGTATTAAGTTTTATTATATAGAGTAAAACGTTTTTCGTCCTTGTGGTTTGTTAAAAATTACAGATTTCATCTTTGTGGTTTGTTAAAAATTGTTGATTTCATCCCTGTGGTTTCAAATTTTCGGTTTTTATTTTTATGGTTTACAATTCATTTCTATTTTCATCTCTGAATTCAAAATACTGTATTTAAGCATGAATGACTAAAATATAAATGAATTGTAAACCATAGAGAAGAAAAAAGCAATAAATTTTAAATCACGAGGACAAAAAAGGTAATGAATTATAAAGCATAAGAATGAAAATTGTAATTTCAAAACCATAAGAATGAAAAGTTCTTAGTCTTTTGGTTAATACTTTGTTGCAGCAACAACTCTTATTGTTTTCACAGCTTTATATTTTCCGCACATTTACATTTCGAACAAGTTACTTTCATGTTATTTACATTCAAGTCTTTATTTCCAGCAACGATGGGCTAAACCACCCCAACTTGGCGTGCGAGTAAAGGTTTCAAGATAAAAGCCTATGTGTTAATGGATAATTGTTTTCTCTGGTAACAATTAACGCTACCGTTCACTCCTTGTTTCTGTATTTCATCCAAGTAATTCTTGACAAACTGACACATATAACCAAAAGTGTCTTTGTTCCAACCATCACGTAAGCCCCCATAGGGGAATTAAAGTTGGTTTGCTTATCCACAACTGGAAAAAGCCACACTGGTACTGACACACGGCCCAGTCTCCTATGGGAGGCAACAGTGGAGAATTTTCTGCAATAGGCAAAAGCCTGGCGGTTTTTTTCATTCGGATGAGTTGGACTTAAATATAAGTCAACGCAAATATTATACCACTAAATGTTATAGATGTCTATAAAGAGCTGCACCAACATTCACGAGTTGCAAACTATATGAAAAGAATTGTAAGGTATGTATCACACTCAGATTTGTGTTATCTGAACACTGCTAACAATTGTCTAATCTAAACCTCGAACGAGGATGTTTTGAGAATTATTGTTGCAACAACTTATCCAGGTGTTGTAGCAAGGTTCTACTACACTTAGTTGTTAAACTCCAACCTGATCTTGCACCCATGCTTTCTTTTAATTATTGTTACATCCAGTAGTCTGTTAACTCAATCCCACAAATACTCATTTGAATTCACCTTCTAAAATCTTATTTTAAGCTTAATTTGTTGGAAATCCTTATTTTTCTGTTCATGTGGATCGGTACATGGTATCATTACCATTATTACTTGTTTTAAGACGATATTGGGAGAACATGTATACTTGAGTGGCTTCTCAGTTACTGTAACCTCTTTGGGTTGCATAAATTTGATGACCAACAACAACGTATGTGATAATTGCAAAAGAAATGTATTAGAGCCATGAGGGTATTGGGTATTGGACGTTAGTCGATACAGTTGATGGATATTTGAGAATGAGTGGTTCAACAACAACATAAGCTCTTATGAACTTCGTAGAATGTGTCACCTCATGCTACAGTGACAATTACCTTAAAAAGCTTAACGAAGATGATTTGACAAGACTACTATATGTCGATGAACAACACAGATTCCTAGGTATGATAGACAACACTGACTGCATGCACTAGGAACAATAAATTAAGTCAGCGCATGGGCCGGACGATATGCAAGAAGCAGCAAAAAGCTAACATTCACTTTAAAAGTTGTTGCATCATACAATGTTTTGGCAGGTCAAACACCAAAAGTTAGTTACATCGTGAATGATCTCGAAAATGTTAGGACATATTATCCCGCCAATGACATATATACTTCATGTGCTCCAGTTGTTGGCAAATAAATTGTATACGCCTTATCTGTTATCCTTAGCACTCCTATTTTACAAGTCTAAGGATTTATTATGTTCAGGCACCTAGGCTATGTTTGACAAATTAACTGTTGAGTTAGCTGATAACTGATAAGATAACTAATAATTGATAAGCTTATGGCGGTCTTGACATTTTGCAGGCTCTGTGTAAAATCTTAAATGCCATATGATATTATTTTCCCTTGTTGTATTATTTATTAAATTCAACAATAAATTGTTTTTAGTTAAAATATGCATGGAAGTAAAAACAGTCATAAACAAGATTCAATAAGAATCAAACTGATCTATGTATTGTTAAATTACTGATCATAAAGCTTATATTATTTTAATCTGTTGATAAATAATCAAAATTTATTAGTAAAAAAAAACTAAAAGTAATCACATAATAAGTATAATGTAGAATATATAACACAAATAGTTCATTAAACCTATTCATTTTTCACTAATAGATCGACAACAGTATGTACGTTTTTCCAAAAGAAAACAAACGACAGGCATTACTATTTTCTACACATAAATCTTGTAATAGTTTTAAAAGAAAAATCATCTAATCATACTTTCATAATCCATATTTGCTAGAAATTCATTCTCGATTGATATCAAACGCAAAATATCTGGATTACGGCTTTTATATTTTATTTTTAGTACATATAAAATAAAAAGTAAAAATGAAAATCGGAGGCTATGAATAGTAGTACCACATCGAAACCCAAAGGAACGACTTTGAATAAGTTAGCTGATGAACTGAATACGTTTGGTAAAAACTGGCTGATAAGTTAGTTGAGAAATGTAAAATTACCAAAAAGGGTATGTTTAAAAATTAATAAATTTTCATATTTCATAATATATTTAAAACAATTCACTAGTATACTATATGTTTTTTTTATTAACCTGGATATCCAACCCGTTATGCCATCTGACTAATTCCAGGGTGACCACCTGCTTTGCAGATAGCCCGAAGTCACCGCATTTGAACCTCCGTGGCCACAAGGGGATTTTTATTCCTCATTGGATTTGAACCTTGGACGTCAATATGTTAATTAATACAAGTCATATAGGAAAGAAAATTAAATAATAGAATGTGTGAATTAATATATTTCGATTTGATTTATTATATATAGCACACCCCCTGTTTTACGATAATATGAGAATATTTGTGGACCTCCAAATATTTAACTCACAATTAAACTTAAAAGAAAATGAAGTAATTAATTAAGGATAATCATGTGATTAACTTCATATTTATCTGTAATTTTGGTGACATCCTTACCTCTAAAATCACATACAGATAATACACTAACCGGTATCAAATAATTATTACAGCAAAATCACATAACGAACAGAGAGGTCGATTAACGTAGACATGATCATCATTGGTTTTCGATTATCACATAATTATTAGATGATTATCACATCATAAACAATCTTCAATTTATCAAATCATTATTACAATGTTATCACGACGAAATCAAATTATTATCACATCATTATCGACAGCTGACGCAACAACATAAAAAGTCTCCAACGATAATAACAAAGTTTAAGGGAAAAATGTAAATATAGGATAATTTTTTTTATAGATAAATACTAATTTATTTTCATTTATTCTATTTTTTATTATGTGTTAATTAATTCTTATTTTATTTTTATTATGTGTTAATTAATTTGGAGGCCCAGAAGTGTTCTCGTATTTTTTAAAACATGATAGTTCTCGTTTGAACCTTTTCATATATAGTTTTCTTTTTTTAATTTCTATGAGAAGCTCTGTGGCACTCACGATTCCCAGGTCCCCCGACTGATTCTACCGTAAAGGCCGACGATAGGAGGAAATCAATCTTTCATTCTCTTTCCCTTCTTCTTTTGCCTAGACCGACTGTGATGCAAGCCTTGCACTTAGGATATGAGCGATCAAATGCAAACCACTTAATTTGTACAAACCGTGCAAACCAGTCTCATCCGTCGATTTCATTGTTTAATCTTATGAAATTTTTTCATTAAATTGTTTAATCTTGTGAAATTGTTTAATATAATAATTTTTTGATGAAGTTGTTTCATATATGGTTATGAAATTGTTTCATATAATACTTGATAAAATTTTAATAAGACTGTTTCATGTATTTCTCTAAAATTAAAATAATCAATATGATAATATCCATGATTAACACCCTTCACAATAAAAATGATTAATCAACCTCTCATAATTACAAAAAAAATGAACAAATGAATGGGGTTTGTACGGTTTGTATAAATGACGTGGTTTACAAAGTAAACCTCCTATACATATAAAAAGTTTTTTGGATTTATAACTAAATACAAATTTTATAATAAATATCTATATTAAATAATTATTATATATAATATAAATACAAATCAAAATTTATCATTCTTATAT